ACATCTCTAAAAGCCTAACTGCTATTGCCAACCGGCCTGCTAAGCGTGGCAACTACTGGCAAACTTCTTTATCCCTTAAATACCTAAAGTTTCAAATTTGATACCGGGGTTAAAAATCGCATTGGGCGCCTACAATCGATTTTAATATTTGGCTGTTTACATGCTACTAAATGTTTTTTTTTTTTTTTTTTCAAAGTAAATATATAAAATATCGTTTTGATTTTTTTACTGTTTTTCCCCGTTAGTAAACACAGTAAAGGGTACACTTATAATTTTTTTATTTGATTACAAAAATCAGGCTTTTAAGGGTTAATATAAATTTTAATTATATAAAAAGCCTTCGCGAGAAAAAAATCTTGAAACTTTTGAAACAGCACTGTAGGTGAGCATTTAAGTTCAAGCGTGTGACGATAAATTCCCTGACGATGGATTGGATTTATTAGTTTTTTTTTTTTATTTATTTTTTTATTATAATAACAAATAATTTATGACCTTGTACACAAAAAAATCTGACATCAAACATGACACAATTAGTATGGGAGTAAACCCTATAACCCTTTGGACTGCAAAAACTTGTTACCCTTTTTAGACTGGGGGGAAAGGGGATTGTTAGTAATGTCGTCTAACTGCCTCGATTTCAGCAATACAATACACCCTATCAGGTCGACCAATACGCGGTTCCCCCTGGAAACCATCGTGGTTAATTCTATGGAATTTGTCACGATTGACTAACTGACCTACTTTCATCGTCACCTATCATCCCTCACTGGTGCCCTGCCAGCGTATACCGATAGCGCGGGCAAAGTTATCATTTCATTATCATTCATAAAATCCAAAAAGAAAAAAAATTTTTTAAATTTTTTAAAGATACTGTCACACCAATAAATACTATCGAATCGAGAGATTCATTTTCGAAAGAGCTTAACAGTTCTCCGTACACTTAGTGATCGCGGCTGCACCGCGGATTCCCAACAGTCATGCTCGCTTGCACGTGCCAAAACGAGGTCTCTGTGCTAGGCTAGTCGAGAAAGGCGAGACGCGGGGGCAACGACCGCGGTGATATAATGAATTTATTTCGGCAGGGAGGCGTAATCGCACGCAGTTTGACACGGCCGTGGAATGCTTCCGTTTGCTTAGGGGTGCGAGCTTTCTACTATACCCTTTATAAACATTTTGAAAAGCTAACAAGCTGGATTTCGGCTTATTGCCGTTTCGAAATGTTTATGGTGATCATATAGGTGATATTGGCAAGACATGTGCAAACTGGGCAAATGCCTAAAACGGCAAAACGAGAAATATTTAATTTTTTTTACCCAGAGCGTAAACAGAGAAAATTAAAAAAAAAAAAAACCGTGAAGAGAAGTGTATGGGAGTCGTGTGGAGGTCGGCCTACACGAAATCTCTCTTGGATGTTTCGTAGCAATTAAATTTGTAGTACTAAGACTTAAGGGACTGCCGAAATGCACTGGAAGCTCAATTAGTTAGTAAAGACGTGGCCTAAGACTACAGATACGCTTCTATATAAACACGTTCCTTACGAATTCGTCACAAAAATCATTTATTCATTGGAAGATTTTTTAGTCCTTTACCGACTTCAATATGTTTCACCGTACCCTTCAATTCAACAAGCATATCTTAGGCATACACAATTCTTGAAAAAAATCTTGTTCAGTGAACACTAACTGCTGGATTTCACCATGATACACTGTTTCGGTTACACTCTGTATAAATGGTGTTTACAAATGTTCCGCAAACAATGTAATGGAGGATCCATTAAGAATAATCTCTGATAATAATATAGTGATAATCCTCGTTGACACATCCATCAACAGTACAAATCATTAAAAATAATATTTACAGGCCTTTGTAGGCTACTTTTCCCCTCTACTTCGTACGAGTGGATTTAAAAAGAAGAAAAATCAATAAAAAAAATACTTCTAGATGATGCAACAAGATAAAACACACCAGTTTTTAAATTAAACCTTCAGAAACACAACTGTGTATACAGTATCTAATATGACCGCCACTCGTCCAGATGATTGGGATGAAACTTTAGTTTGTGGCGGGTTGTACGGTGGTGAAAATCAGCAGCAGGTATCAATCCGAACAATTTCTCAGAACGCTCCCCATGATAAATTTGGTAGAAGATGCAGAGATGTAACATCTCTGCGCAGTTTCAGTGGGTCAAATCGGACAGTAATGTATTATGCATTACAAACTAAGATAAAAAAAAGGAACTAATCTTTCCTCTTTCTACTGGTACATACAGGTTTTTCATATATATTCCTTGCAAGGACAATAGACATAATATTGATACTAGTTTGAGCCCTACGGGTTTACTTTTGAATCTAATATAAATATCAATCTAATCTATTGCCAATGACAATTTTATAGTGCATCTATCTATGTCTATTATGTCTCTCTATCTATCAATTCGGGAGTGCGAAATATCTCAATTTCAATATCGATTTATTGGAATTTATTTAAATAGTAACCAAGCTGTTAATGAAGTAATAACTCTTTATTCGAATAAACGGAATGGAAACATTTTACAAGAGCGATTATCGTATCGCGGCACCCACGCGCAATCTAAGTTTCCCTCGAGAAGCTTTATCAATTTTACGTGCAAATCGTAAACCGCATGAAAAAACTTTTCATTCGGAACATAATCATTGTAAGTTTAATATCGCGTGGGAAGTTCGCGCAAGATAAAGGGACTAAAATAGTCACTCTACACGAAACATAATACGATATATTTCGTACAACCCGCCGAGTTTAATAGACACCCTACACTGAAGACGTTGTATTGAGAGTCGAGTACAATTTCATAGGCGGTTTATAAAAAACGAATAATATTACGATTCGGTGTAAAGCAGCTATTTTATCCACAAGGCTATCGTATTGTAATGCTTGATCTAGAATCTAGGTAGGAATGAGTTCCACTTCTATCTAGAACCGTTTGATTGTCTGACAGGTGTCTGGATCAATTTTATGGACTACGAATCCGCCTCCGCTTTGCTCGGATGCAATACGGAAATGTCCGACTTTTTCTCCAATATGATTTGTAAACTTCTATATTTCGCTACTTTATTTATATTTATAATATGGATTAATTTAATCAAAATGTAATATGTAAAGTGGAATCTGACTAATATAATAAAATTGTAAGCAAACGATGTCTGTACATGAAGAATTTAAAAAATTATATATCGACATGAGACAATAAGAAGCAATAGAAGATAAAATAATAATATTTAGAAATTTTGTCAGTGTGATGCCACAAAACTGAATGTGGTTTTCACAGCTGTGTTCCCAAAGATCTAACATAAAATCTGGTATGTTTTATCTTGTTACGTCATCTAAAAATGATGCATTTCATTTGTTTTTTTTTTTCTACTTCTGCAATCTACATATAGCAGGTAGATAGTTATCTATATTACTAGTTAGTAAACAATATAACTATACAATACAAAAGTGGTAAATGTAGGCAGAGATTTTAACTAACTTGATATGGTCACTCTATCTGTGAGAGGAGTCAAGTCTCCAGAATCGGTTCGTTTGCATGAGATGACTTGTGATGCAAGAAAAGGACAGAGGCTTTCGATACTCGGCTCTCTCTGCCTACTCCGCAAAGGAATTGGCATTAAAACAAATAGGTATAGGTTTCCCAAGCAATGAAAAAGGAAGAATAGAATAAAGTGTTTCTGAAATAGCAGTAACATAAGTAGAATTTATGTAATTTCATTAGCATTTGTCAAAAAGTTTCAGTTATTAGTTTTAAAAAACATTGTTACATGGAATTTTCATAAATATAAAACCACCAACATATGGGAACTACTAGACCCATTTAATATATACATAATAATACAATACAAACAATATACTTTGTTATGTCCATAGTACTGCTCTAGTCTATAGGTGATGGTTACCACTTTCCATCAGGTGGACCGTCAGCTTGTTTGCTGTTCTAAATTGCAAAAAAAAATATAATAATAATAGTTTTAGAAGAAAATAGTTTTGAAATTACCCCTGATTATAAATGACCCATTACGGTTAAAAAATAGCTGAGCTAATTTAGCTATTATTTATTTAAAACCGATCAAAATTTTTAGAATAAGAAAATATTTGCAATTTAGACAGGATGTCTGGGTCAAGTAGTTTACATACTAATACATTTGCTGCCACTCTTTATCCCCAAAGGGCAAGCTATGAATAATATATTTCCATATAATTATGACAATTAAAATACATTTATATGTGACGTTGTTTCATGGCCGGGGCATAGGATGGGATAGCCCTTCCTTTGCCTTAGATGTTGTAAGAAGTGACTAATGGAATTAAATTGTAGAAGGATGGGCAACAGAGTCCCTTTTAAAACATCACTAAAGCCTAACTATGGTTACCAATGTATCTGATAAGCATTGCAACTACTGGCAAAACCCCCCTTATTGTGGAAACTTATCTTCCGCAATGGATAGTTAACAGTTAGTATAGTATGATACCAATGTATGTACATAACATTGTGAAACATTATCTCAGACTTAAGGACTTTTGCATAGCATTAAACTTCCAACTTCGCCAATTATAAACCAATTTCATGGTTCTTATTATTATAAGAAGTATAAATATATACATACAAAAAGACTTACTCTTATGTTGGTCTTGTTAAAATTTTTTTATGCAACTTAAAATAGTAAACTGTCCACTCGATGGAAAGCAAGTACTATCACCTATAGACATGAACAGTACCATAGACATAATGATATGGAAATAATGAAATTGTGCAATTATGTTAAGTATACTTTAATAAAAAAAGTTATTGGAAGTGGAAAATGAATTGATTTGTTCAAATTATAGCATTAATTTGCATTAAATTATTACAAATATCCAGATACAGAAAACATTGGTCGGACCTCCACTATAGCTGATGTAATAAAATGTACCTTCTGCATGCACAACGCATGATGTACCAAACATATTGAAATGGAAACTACACTCACCTGTATATCTTGCTAAAGTCATATAAAACGATAACGCCCCTATGGACGAGAGCTGGCGAATGGGATGAATTGTTGATCCTGGCTTCGAAGAAGCTGACACCAGGAAAACACGGCCTCGCGACACGCCGGGCGCGCCAACCTGTCACAAATATGATAATACTACACTATCAAATGGATTTCCCATTATAACAATCCAACTACACATTAATCGCGGATCTATTTACTTCTCTAACCAATTTCTACAGCACAAATGTACGCACCAGCTGGCAAAAACGTGGTGAGAACGGATTAAACTTGCTATATATACGTAAGTAAATATAGGTTTCAAGATATTCGATATTACGTAGGTACCTTCCACTGTCTATGCTATGACGGAGCGCTGCAACGTGCTTGATTATTTTCCGAATATAGGAGAAGCACAACTAGAATACGATTTTAATAATACAAACGAACATAAAATAAATCAAGATTTTTCATCAAAACCGACACGTTTCAAGAGATAAAATGACGACAGAAAATAAATGAAAATGTAAACTTTCTTATGTTTCTGGAACTGTTCACACCGGAAATGAATAAGTTTTTAAATTTGATAAATAGACTGAAACATGTCGTTGATAGTGTGAATGTTTCTTACAATAATATTTCATCGCTACTTATTGAGATGCGAAATTATTTTAAAAATTTATAAGTGAATGACAAATTTCTGGATGAAAGATACAATTATCAAAAAAATTTGTTAAAAAATTGGTAAAAAGAAATATATATTATTTTAAAACTACATTGTCTATGGTCGATAGTAGAGCATGAATAGAGGTGTAATTATTTAAATACTTTAAATTATTATAACATAAAATTGAAACCAAATTTCATTTTAAAGACTTCATAGAAAAATATCTGTTTTGAAGTTCTCGATGTGAGTAAGCAATACTTTACCACATATGATTGTATAAGTCGTAAAAGATAACAAATCTCTGTAATGTGTAAACGAGATGGAAAACACAAAAACATTATAATCGATATATTGTCCCCAATAAGGAAGTGATTGTTAGTAATGCAGACTATCAGTCGCATTCCTAGTAATATAACCTGTTAGGTCAACCTCCACGTGGTTCCCCCTGGAAACTATAGTGCTGAAATCCTGATGTATTTATTACGATGGGCCAACTGATCTGCCTTTCATCTCACTCACTCAGGGATGATAGATCCCTCATTAATACCCCGCTAGCACAAACTGTTAGTGCAGATAGGGTTACCAATCTATTGTCAACGTTATTGCTATGTGCTACATACATACAAATAATTTTAATTATTTAGCAACGAGCATAAATATTTAAAAGCGGGGGAAGTTTGGTTAGCACTGAATAAGCGAAGCTTTTAAGGTTAAGCACAAATAATTTTAAACATAATGTACAGAGGCGAGTTTATCTCTAATAAGAGATTTCTTCCAGCAAAACCATATACATATGCCAATGATAATATGAGATGTTAGTTTTCACTATCAATGGAAATATTAACATAACAATATGTGCGGACATAATTAGAGTAATAATAATACATTTAATATAAAAGTATAATTATTTTTTAGTTATTAAAAAAAAGAAATATTTGGAGCATAGTGCAATAATGATTTGCTATTATTGTTATAATTAAACTATAAATTTTATTTCTGACACGCCTGATTAATGTTTAAATAAATCGAAATGCAATTATTATTTTCTATTTACACATTTACGAATCCTATTTCTATTTAATTAAATTCTAATTTTAGAGACTGGTTTAGAGAAATTGCATTTCAGTAAATTTTTATTGTATAATTTAATGATGCATATTTATGGTACGCCGAAAAAAAAAATCTTTTGACAGTTAATTGACATTGACCATTCGACATGTCCTTTTTGTGACAGCTGATTGCACGGTTTTATGAATGAGTTTTCATCGATGTTGTAATAAAATAATATTTTTCGTATCTTTTAAATAATACGATATATTAAAATATATTAAGTGCATTGAGAATTTGTTTAATCGTCTATTAAATATGGTATGCGTAGTAACTTAATTTTCTTGATTATCTTTTTTTAGGTTATGAGCCATTCTTATTGTGAATAAAATTGATGAAAATATAATATTTTCAGCATTCATGTCGACAGATACTCTATAGTTCAGCGCGGTGGAAATGTGCTTTACCGCTTAATATAAAAACCACGGTTCTTTCAAAATCAGATCAGGTTAGTTTGTATATACCTATCTGTATTTTACTTATAATACATCGCTTACTGTTTTTTACGCTTGGTATTTAATTTATTTAATAAAAATATATTCATAAACTCTACACACAATTCAGTGTTTACTATCAAAATATGAATTAAAAATATAATTATTAGATATGTATATATTTTTGATATATCACTCCTGGTTTTTTGGAGTAGTTAGTTAGCAGTAGACCAAAATACCTTAATATATAAACACTTTGTAAGTACTATTTATATCAACAATAGTTTTGTAAAACTTGTTTTTATCTGGTATTTGTATTATTTTTTTTATATTAAATCGGTTATGTAATAATTGATAAATGCTTTAATAGACCTGAAAATAAAAATTCTAATATTAATGTACCTAATTTAAATGTTCAGACATTTAATTGATATTTTATGTATAGTTTAATTAATTTATTTTATTTATATGCTTTTTATACATTTACTTTTAATATATTATATCAACTTATAACAAAAATAATATATAATATGTATACAACAATAATGTAATAACAATCATGTTATATTAACTATAACAATAATAGCTTATTATTTTACATGAAAGATAATTATTGGGCTATATTTATTTATGTATTCATATTTAAATGAAAATATAAAAAAAATATAGTTATCAAATTCAATACAATATATTAATTTATCTAAACTTCTGCACTGCATGTTTTAAAGGAGACAGAAATTAACATGATTTAAGTAAACAATGTAATGTATGTAATGTATAAGTAATAATTTACCTGAATTATTTTGACATTTTATTACAATAGTTTGTGTAAATGATTACATATATTTAAATAACTTTATTGACTACCATTAATTCCACCTTTTGTATCAGAGTATTATATAAAAGGTGGACTTAATGCTACTAGCATTGTTTACCAATCAATCTTTTAATTCCTGTTACTTATAAAATTAATTTATCTTGCTATTATTCTATCTGTGTAAAGTTGGGGTGGATCGCTAGTGATTAACTTATTTACTTAAAAATATAATTTTAGTTGTCACTACAAGAATGTCGCTTTTACTCTGCACGAAAAGGTTTCTTCTCATCTATCATCGAAAACATCAAAGAGGATATCGCTAAGAATAAAGAGATGAAGGAAAACATAAAGAAGTTTAGAGAGGAAGCACAGAAATTAGAAAACTCTGAAGCATTGCAGGTAAAATTATTGTAATTTCTATTTAAATATACTTTTTGTATTATATCCTCAACATTGTTATCAATTTGAAGTTAATTAATAAGGTTAATTTCTAAAAACATAAAAAAAAATTAAAAAGCTCTTTATATTGTAAAAAAAAAAATATTGTAAAGTATGGGAAATATAATAATAATAGTTAATTAATTTCTTTATTTCATACCACAGTTCAAAGAAAAAAACAACAAGTGATTCAACAACTTAATCAGTATTTCTGTAAATACAGTACTTTTACATTTATAATATTAGCAGACTAAGTAAATAATTTACTTACCTATTTAGTTACTTAGTTACACTTAGTTGCACCATTTACAAAAACACCAAATACTTTTTGCTTAATACTTACTTATTGTTTTACAGGCAGCGCGGAGAAAGTTTCAAGCAGTGGAATCTGAAGCATCTAAAAGCTCTGAAGTATTCAAAGAAACATTGGAAGGCATTAAAGGCAAAATGGAACATGTCATCGAAGAAGCCAGTAAAACAGAAATTGCCAAGAAAGCAGGTATATAACTCAGAAATGATATTAATAATTGAATATATGTTACTGAAAGGGACAAATGAAAGGAAGACTTATCAATGGGAGATTTTTATATAAAAGTCGCCTGCATAAGTGCGTGTGTACTATTAGTGTTTTTGCTACAGTTATTTGCATGTCTATATTTTTGGTTTGCATGGTAAGATTTGACTGTGTAATCACATGGTGTAAATTGAGGAGACATAGGCAGGAATGGTTATAGAACCTGAACTATGACAAATATGTGAAACTGCTTCAGACTACATGCTAATATAATTGCTGCCCCATGACAGCCCCATTGCTAGCAATATGCCCTATTAGGTCGACATCCACGCGGTTCCCCCTGGAAACCATTGTGAACAATTCTTGTTGAATTAGTGCGTACGATGGGGCAAACTGACCTGCTTCATCCTCACCTATCATCTTTCACTGGTGCCCCGCCAGCGTATCCCGATAGCGCAGGCGTTACCATTCCATTATCACCCATTAAAAAAAATATATAATTAAGCCTCACACTTATAGAATTTCCAAAAAGCTATTTATTGTTATTGGTTTTATTGGTATTATTGTGTTATATATATATATATATATATATATATATATATATATATATATATATATATATACTGCTATTTATATATAGGTCATGGTGACCACTTACTAACATGTGGATTGTTTTACCAAACTGCATATTTATTTTCCAGGTAAAATCTCAGAAGACATATCTAAATCCGCAAAGGGTGCTGCTGAGAGTTTAGCTGATAAAAGTCAGAAGCTGGGACAAACATCAGCATTCAGAACTATATCTCAAGTTAGTACTGCTTACATTCAAATGCTTAGGATTAATACTGTACTAAGTTATTCTTTTCTATTGTTTCACTCTCTTCTTATATATTTGTATATCGTTTAAATAAATACATATTTAATTCTATGAACCATATATCACACTGTGATATGAGAGTACTCTAAAAATTTCAATTTAATTTTCTTTTTTATACATACATACATATCTGTCACGCCCGTCTCCCATTAGGGAAGGCAGAAACAATGGAATGCCAAATGCTTCGATTCAAACAAACCTCTTCGCTTCTGCCACATTCATCAATCTTTTCATACACGCTCGCCGGTTACGGGTACTTTTAATTTGGCCCTTCTTCAGCACGTCGTCTATTTGGTCAACATACGTCCGTCTAGGGCGGCCCCTACCGACATCTCCATTCATTCTTGCTCGATATATCTCTTTCGTAATTCTTCTTTTTATATTTAATCTCTTATAGTTTTTTTATACCATGAAGGTGCTAAATAAACACACAGCCCGTCTGTTGGTAAACTGTTACTATGGCCTATGGACGCCTGCAACACAATGGGAGTCAAGTGTGCGTTGCTGACTTTAAACCATGATAGTTAAATAATCATAACTGACCATGTGGCTCCGACATAGGAAAACGGCTTTTAACTGTCCACTGCTGAACATAATCCTTCCCCTTCGGAGATTTTGCCAGTAGTTGCCATGCTTGGCAGGCGGATTGGCAACCACAGTTAGGCTTTAGATATGTTTTAAGAGGGATGCTGCTGCCCATCCCTTGCCCTCCCTTAATCGCCTCTTACGACACCCACGAGAAAGGAAAGGGTGATATTCACATTTTTCCATATAAATTTCATAATAAAACTTTATACATAAAAAGTAACTCGAGAAATAAATTTAATAATAATAAAGAAGTCATTTGAGCCTTGTAGTTATTAATAGGAAGTTTTTTTATACAATTTAGAATGACAAACAACACAGCCATGCAAACACAATTGCTTCACGATAGAATTTCGTTTCATTAGAAATGAACGAAATAAAATCGACGTTAAATTGTATGTTTTTTTGCAGGCTACTCAAGTAGTGAAGAACGAAATATCGACGCGAGGGCTCGAGGGCCGTGTGTACACCTCACCAGTCGCGTTACGGAAACGTGTCGAGGTAAATATGTTTTTGTATTATTCACTAGCTGTATCCCGCGTCTTCGCGCTTGTAAATAGGTACCTTAAATATCTTTTGTGCTAAGTTGGGATATAACTTAACCATGTACTAAATTTCAGTCACATCTGTTTACCGGTTTTTGTATGATAGAGTAACAAACATTCAACTATTCTTAAAAACTATTGAAGGAGAAGGGATTGTTAGTAAAACGGACTACCAGTCTCATTGCTTGCAATATACCCTGTCAGGTCGACCTCCCCGTGGTCCTCCGTGGAAACCACCGTGCTGAATGCCAGGTGTATTCATTACGGTTGGCTACCTGACCTGCCTTTTCATCCTCAATTATCATCTCTCACTGGTGCCCCGTCAGCGTATACCGTTAGCGCAGGTAGGGTTACCATTCCATTACCATCCATTAAAAAAAATGGTGTTATTTCAATACATTGCCCATTACAATCCGGATTAAATATCATAATCATTCATACAATTTGGCTAAAGCGCCTTTTTTGTAAATTTTAATATTATTAAATATTAAAGATTTGGTATTTTGTATGTATGTTTGTAATGGTTAAATTCGATAACAACTTGTGTAATTCTTTTACATATACAAAGCTATATTGTCAGCGAGCAACGTAGGTTATAAACTATTTTTGTAAAATTAGAGATCTCTAGGAAAATTTGTATTGGAACAAACTATAAGATGTCTTGAAGAGCAGTAAATATTGTATTTGCCTTGTGAGATAGTATGGTTTAATTCAGTCCTCTATATTCAGCAGTGGGCATCCGATTACTGAATTTAATGTACTTACCAGAGGGAGACTTTGTACAAAAGTCGTTTGCTTGGGTACCTCTGTCCCATTCGTGTTTCAACCGTGAAGCAGTTGTGTTTGCATGACTGTGTTTTGGTTTGAAGGGTGGGATATGGCGTGAATTTACAGGGTACAGAGGAATAACATCTGAGTCCTCAGGAATGGCAACGCATGGGGAGTATCATGGGCGAAACAGTATATTCTGTTATGTCCGTGGTACTGCTCATGTCTAGGCGACGGTTACCACTTTCCATCAGGTGGGACGTCAGCTTGTTTGCCATTCTAAGTTGTACAAAAAAAATCCGCCAGGTGGCGTCCGATGACCGCACGTTCGCCCCCGATACCGAGACGCTGGGCGTGGAGCTGCACAGGGACTCCAAATTCTACCAGCAGTGGGAGGACTTCAAGAATAACAACCAGTATGTGAACAAGGTATGTGCACCATTTTTTTATTACAATAAGGACAGCGTTGTATCTATGTTTGTACAATGCAACAGAAGGTACTGCTCATGTCCATAGGCGACGGTTACCACTTTCCATCGGGCCGTCAGCTTGTTTGCCATTCTTCGCGGCTCACATTTGGCCACAACAGAATATCAGTGTTTTGCTCTTTTTAGGGCAAAGCAAAAAGCTGAGTTGTGGCCATTTTGTATTACTGTGGCACACGCATGAAGAAAAAAAAATTTTTTACTAATTTTATGCATTCTGATTTTGTTTTTGGTTTTTTTTATCTTTTGTACATGTATCTTTTTTATCTTTTTTCACTTTGCTTTTATCTTCTGCTGTTTGTGTGCTGTAAGTGATGCAAATAAATTATCTATCTATCTAAGTTGTATAAAAAAAAAGAAGTATCACAAGCTTGTCTATCTTATACAAATTTTGGACTACAATACCCAGTCATTGCAGTAACATTTTTCATACATACATACATGCAATCTTAGACTTATATTGTTTTAATTTAGCAGTTATTTAAAAACTAGCCGAGCTTGTGACTTCGCATGAGCAGAATAAATGTAGCATACGTTCTTTTCTATGACAAATATTGTATGTCAATAAAACCCTAAAATGTAACGAACAATCTCACTTTAATATTTTTAATATTAATAAGGATAAATTGTTTATAGTTTAATGTTATTATATATAACAACGACTGGATTAATTTACGTGAATTTTAGTCGAGAATGCTCGACTAGTTTGGGACCATCAGGGACCTTTAGGTATGAGTAGCCGTGAAGTGCGCGCGAGCCTGACTGCGCACCCCGGCCAAGATTCACGACTAAGGATCCTGGATGATCCCAAACTCAACTAGAATACACCTTTTTTTATATTACTGAGGTGGCAAATAAGCATACGACCCATCTGATGGTAAGCGGTTACCGTAGTCTATAAATGCCTGCAATACCAGGGACATTACTCTGGCGTTGCCGATTCTGAAAAACCTCTTTATCATTTTTTTTTGAAGTATTCCATGCTGTAGTCTCTTAGAAAAACCTCGACATGAATCTCATTTATAACCTGAGCGTTCGTGGGAGGAAACATTTCTAAAACTGCGCTGTACGCGACCATCTAGGCTCTAAGGTATAGGTTCTAAGTTAATCCGGTCCTTGTTATATTAAAATATAATGTATTTTAACGAAAAATTTAACAATAAAATTATTAAAGGTATTAGATTGGAAAATAAAGTACGAAGAATCGGATAACCCAGTGGTTAAAGCTTCGAGATTCGTTACCGAGAAGGTGGGCAATCTATTCGGCAACCTATTCGAAAAGACTGAACTGTCGAAAACGTTGACGGAGATATGCAAGATCGACCCCAACTTTACCGCCCAGAAGTTTTTAGAAGACTGCTCCAACGATATCATACCGAATATCCTCGAAGCCATGGTACGGGGCGACCTCGAGATACTGAAGGACTGGTGTTACGAAGGTGTCTACAATATCCTGGCGACTCCGATAAAACAGTGCAAGCAGTTCGGCTACCGTCTGGACTCGAAGATCCTCGACATAGAGCAGATCGAACTAGTCATGGGCAAAATGATGGATCAAGGTCCAGTTTTAGTTATAACATTCCAGTCGCAACAAATAATGTGCGTGCGAGATGCCAAGAACACCGTGATCGAGGGTGACCCGGACAAAGTCATGAGAGTGAATTACGTGTGGGTACTGTGCAGGGACCCCCAGGAACTGAACCCCAAAGCCGCCTGGCGGTTACTCGAATTGTCGGCAAACAGTGTAGAACAATTAATTTAGGTGTAACTGTATGTTAAATATTTATTAGTTGAATTAAATCGTTGATAACTAGATATGGTTTTAGTAGAATTTGACCAACCCAAGCCCTCGCGGCTAAAGGCTTATTTTACTATCAAATATGTATTATTATTATTGAAAGACGGACGTTTTCATACAGAAAAATCTATGACACTGCGACCTTTCCAAAATCTATAATATGTATGTATGTATGAATATGGTATATATATGTAATCAACTCAAGTGAATTCGTCATTTCGCCAATTCGTCTTCGCAGCCATTGGCATATCCTATCTCTTCCTTTACTAACTCCTATTCATTCTTCTAAATTCTATACCTATTCTTTCTCCATCCAAGCTATCCGTCTCTGGTACTCCTTACCTCTTTCCATTAGATCAGCATAATAAACCCTCTAATAAACACGACGGTACTAATGATCACACGAACTTATGACGTGATTTCAATTTCATTTATGAAGTCGTCACATGTTTTTTTTTTTTTTTTTTTTTTACAACACAGGGGGCAAACGAGCATGCGGCTCACCTGATGGTAAGTGACTACCGCCGCCCATGGTCACCCACAACACCTACGGCATTGCAGGTGTGCTGCCGGCCTTTTAAAAAGGAATATGCTCTTTTCTTGAAGGTTATGTTGTCGTATATAATTAGTTCATTGTACTCGAATAAATATTTTATTTACTTTGAAATATATAAAAATAAATAAATTTCGTAGTATGTACATAAATAAATAAGAGGTCATACGACGATTTTGGAACTGTTGAATTACGTCGTAAATATGAAGATATTTGAAAATGGATAATAAAATACACTGGAACTTTGTTTCTATGTACCATCATACTTCAATTGTTACGAATCAATACTGCTGACAGCTTTACTGTAATTTTTTCATCAGATTTTTTGTTATTTAGTTTTTTTTTCTTCTCAAAAAACTTTAACACTTAATATACACAAAGGGAGATCTTATTTATGAAATAAGGTGTATTCTATTCATATTTCAGTATTGAAGAGTTTTTCGAGTACTTTTATTTTCACTTTATAAACGATATTTGTTTTTATTATTCCTTGTTTTTTTAATAAATGCTTTATTTATATCAAGTTTATTTATTTATTATTATAATGCATTCATGTACATAATATAAGAGTTGTTACAATGTTCTTATTATGAGTAAGTACATGAAACCCTGTTTGGGTGTAGCATAAATATATTGATAGCTAGCTAATATACACGCATTAATGTCAATTCAGATTAAACAAAATAAACAGCAATTTAAAATATCATAAAAATAATAAGAAGTCCGTCTAGTTATTGAAGTATATATTATAATAGCTATGTCAATCTGAACAATTATTTGCAAGTCATGTATGATTTGAACCGTGGCATGGTGCATTTCAACTGGCTAAAATGTCGTCAATTTAATAAAAACAATTTGCTTTATATTTGCAATAACAAGTTTCCTTTGTTATGACTTTTTTATTTTTTTAATAAATTTATAGTTATTATACTGAAAAATGAATAGGCCACCCCTTCCTTTCCCGTGGATATCGTAAGGGGCGACTAAGGGAACTTAATCGTCGAGAGATGGGTAATAACATCCCTCTTACAACATCTCTAAAGGGGGGAAAGGGATTGTAACGGGTCCTAACAACCCCATTGGTAGCAATATACCCTATCAGGTCGACCTCCACGTGGTTCCCCCTGGAAACCATCCTGGTTTAATTCTTTTTGAATTCTTCACGATGGGCCAACTGACCTGGGCCTCTAGACAAATGACAAACGAATTCGTCGATAGAATCGACAACGCTAGCGAGTCCGTGAGATAGAATGAGATAGCAACGCCGGATGACTCATTCCAACTCACGAGCTCGCTAGCGATGTCGATTCCATTGACGAATTCGCTTGTCACTTGTCTAGAGGGCCTGCTTTCATCCTCATCTATCATTTATCACCGGTAACCCGCCAGTGTATACCGATGTCGCGGGCGGGGTAATCATTCCATTCTCACCCATTAAAAAGTGTAACTGCGATTGCCAACTCGTTTACCAAGCGTGGCAACTAATAACACCCCCAATGGTAAAGGCAGTCTATGGGAGAGGGTTATGTCTAGCACTAGACAATTAATAACTAAAATATGTGGATTCTAACAAAATAAAAGACTTTTTTAATAATATTTTTTTTTTATTATTAGAGGCACATTTAAAAAGACGGAGATAACCATCGTATAATTAATTTATTTACAGAGCCTATTTTAGTGCTAAATAATTATAACTATGGAATGAGAGTAATTGTTAAATAAACACGAATGAAATACCTACCGGTGACTAGGTTACTAACGAAACCGCGATGTACAAAGGATTGTGTCACGAAATCTTAAAAAGGTAATGTGGTTCATAAAATTAGTAAATTTGGTACGTCTAACGTAGTATAGAGGGAGCTAGTGGTGAGAGTGTACAATATCTATACATATATTGGGCCAATAACAGATATACTAGAAATCCAACTGGTATGAGCGATGTCGCAATGGGTGATTAACCCTTTGCATGATTTTTTTTTTATTGGTGAAATAAATGAAGGAGATATAATTCATGTTCAAACTTAAAGGAAAAATGGTTAAAAAAATAAATTTGACAGCTATGGTTTTTTTTTCTGCAATGGACATTAAAAAGGCATCCAGACACGATCAACTTAAAGTGAACTATTTCTTTTATATAATTTCTCCTCGTATCTACATAGATTTAGTGATTAATGTAGACTGGCTACAGAGGAATAACACCAGAGTCCTCAGGAATAGCAACGCATGGGGGGTATCATGGACGAAACAGTACACTCTGTTATGTCCATGGTACTGCTCATGTCTATAGGCGACGGTTACCACTTTCCATCAGGTGGACCGTAAGCTTGTTTGCCATTCTAAGTTGTATAAAAAAAAAAAACTAAATAATAAGCAAATTACTACGGTTTAAGAATAAACATGTAATTTGCTTGAATTTTACAATTGATAAATATACCAATAAACTTTATTAATTATTAAAATTAATTACGTACCTATTTTATGAACCACATTAAATAGCATAAAACTTATAAGTAACTTAATAAGTAGTGTCATCATTCATCATTTTAACTTAAATCATTAGAATACAGATTAAAAGGTGCCATCAAAATAATTATTACGCTTAAAATACTACACTTAGTAAGCTCAATCACATATCAAGAATATTCGCAGTGTTGCAAGTGTAAAATAATCGAAATTGTTCTCAGTGTTGCTATACTCTTACTTAATGTGAGAATAATTTGAGAATAATTGACAAATTCACGAATTGTATTTTAGAAAGTTTATTAAAATCTTATATTTTGTTTAGAGACTTGTTTAAGAAATTAATAAAAATAATATAAAAAAAAAAACACCTTATTAAAATATAAAAATCATATTCCAACGTTTTATAGAAGATTAAATTGATTTCAATTAGCCAGGATTTATATATATACACACACATATATATATATATATATATATATAAAAAGAAATCTTCACAACCGTACATCATCAAGTTAGTGTATCATTGATAAAAACTTACTATTAATGAATTACAAACATACACCCAAATTAACCAATGCATGGTGTGTTTAGAACACAAATACCTGCATTTTAAGCTCGCAATCATATTTTAAGGGTAAACACACTGACTGCGAAATAATCTGTATATTATACAGATTAATTTTCGCGCGCTTTTTTTAACATAGTTTCGTTATTTTGAATATAAATATAAAACTATGATTTTTAGCCCAGTAAGAGTTTACCCAGCGATAAAAAAAAATTAACTAAACAGTCTATTAAAATAAAATGATAAAATAAAATTACAATTGTACTTTTGCACTTAAAATAGTTTAAACATAAAAACACTTTTGTCTGTACATTTACCTAATACCGCGTTGACAAACTTTGTTATTTTTTTTTATTATTGTTATTTATTCAATGTTCCGATTCCAGTATCTATTTACATATACAATAACACGATTTTAATATCGAAAAGACGTATGGAAATTAGAAAATACTTTATTCAGTAAATGTAGGCGTTTATTAGGCTTTTAATTATTGTGTAATTATTGTAAAATGTATATTATTTTATATTTAGGTTAAAGCGTCGTATAAAATTGTTCCATGACATTTTTTCACCTCTAATATCAGTCGCTAAAGCTGTATTCGTAATATTATCTAGTACCCAGTATGTGTTTTTAACTAAAATAAAAAAAAAAAACATGATAAAATTTAGTCGAACAGAAGAAAAATCTATGGCAATTAGTTACGTAGCAAGATTCCTTTTTCGCAACAGTTGCCGGATTGGTCCGAGAAGTGAAATATTGTTAGTTAACAAATAAAAATAAAAATTATGCATATTTTAATATATAAATAAATAGAAAGTATTTTAAAAGGTAATACATTAAAAATATGTACTTTTTGCATTAGTGTTGTCAAATTGTTTAACAACTTAATAATATTTCGATATTTAAAACAAAATGGGGTTTTTAAAACTTTGTTTTTATTCTAATGAATTAATAAAATATTTATATACGTATAACCGGCTAAATCAATATTTTATAATGGCAATTGCTGATTTTTTTTTGTATAGAATACGTAATTCCAATTTTTTGTCTGGAAGGACATTTTTTTTTTGTATATTGATCTATAATCAATGATTAATGTATGTACGGTACATAAAGTTCGCTTCTTTACTGTACTTTACATAAAGTTCGCTTCTTGTACTTGGACTTCTCTTACTGTACTTGGACACAAATAATAATAATACAAATTTATTTTCACTGTTACACTATATTTGTATGTGAATTAATATCAATATGCCGTTTGCATGTAATTCGTAATAATTGGGAATTCTTTTAGTGTGTATTAAAACTTATGGGTTGATTTCCCTGTGACGTTTATGCTCTATGCCTCTGCTAATGTTGCGGTACAGATTAGCGGCACAGTATAAAGAAATATTATCTTCACTTTAAGGCCTTTCCCTCAGTTGACATCACCTTTATTTCCGTGACTCAAATGCGACCGTTCAATAAAAGAACGCACTGCACTTGGTAAACATTAGTTCTTTACATAGTAGTCACGACTATGAATCACGACTTTAGTATATGAAGTGTCCAGGATGTGAAGAGGATGGTTGTGATAGAGGTAATAATTGGGATGGGGTAGGGTAGTTAGGTGGTTGTGGAAAGGGTGGTGAAGTGGTTGTGGGGAGGGTGGTGAGGTGGTAACGGCGATCTAGTCGAGCAGCCATTGCATGACGGCGGTGTCGAGCCCGCCGGCGGACACCAGCCGCGCATCGTCCGCCAGGAACCTCACGCACGTCACGTGCGACGAGTGGCCGCCATACTGGTGGCACAGCGACTGTGGACACCAACAGTAAGGGTAAACATGCAAAGAACTTTTGGAAATTTTGACAATTGGAAATTTTAATGTACCGCATTTTATAGGATTATGGCGTTATGCCCTTTTTTTCCCGTGGAAGCCCACACACCCCGGGGGAGGGATGTGGATACTGCCGGACTCTTACCGGCTAAAACCACCACGTGTCCCTCGGCTGCGACTTAAGGTAGCGTTGCTGCGATTTCGGTTTATTACTACTCCGCAACAGGGCGTTATACCCTAGTATAACTTATAAGATATTTTTTTAAATATTAAAAATAAAAAAAAAAAAACCTTAAGGAATTGAATACGGTAAAGATTTTTTTATGTCAGTTGTTGATAAGAAATGTTATCAGATACCTACACAGCTACTAATACTTGATAAATAGCGTTATATAATTCTATTACATCATATTACAAGTGTTTAGATAACGAATGATTAAATAACGACGATGTATTTACCTTTGGTTGCGTGACTGGGTAAGCGAACAATTTGACTTTACCAAAGTCATCGCCAGTGGCCGCAAGGCGGCTGTCGTGCGATCTGAAAAATTTTTATTTACAGACTTAGTATATATATATCTGTTTATTCAGTAAATTATTGGCTCTTGGTGGAGTTTAGAAATCATTTTTATAAGTTACAACATACTTGTATACTATTTCCACAGACTTTATTCATAAACATATTTATTTACACCAACAAACCGGCTCGAAGGACCAAAAAAAAAAATTCATAGGATGAAAATGGTTCGTTTTCAATGAGTAAATATATTATCAATATCAAATATATTCTTCCGCTTCTCAAATTATAGATTTTTTAATATGTATTACAATATAATGGTAACCTCGCTTGCGACATCTTCGGTTATACCAGTGAGGAATAACTTTTTTTTATACAACTTAGTATCGCAAACAAGGTGACGGTCCATCTGATTGAAAGTGGTAACCGTCGCCTATAGACATGAGCAGTACCATGATATATATATATACATAACAGAGTATACTGTTTCACCCATGATATCCTCATGCATATACAAAAACCGATCGATATAATTACGCAAATGTGAAAACAATTCATGGCTCCACATAGATATAATTTGACTATGTATCGATAGTCATTCAGCTGTGTTTGCCTAAAAATAAATAAATAATGATGAATTCACCATAAATGGTTCCCTAGGGTACCGCCTGTAGGTCAATTATCCTATATTATTATTCTAGTCTCTGTTTCTCGTCTCCCAACTATGGTTACGTTTAGAAGACATACTTGGTGCAGGAGTTGATATCAGTGCCGTCCGCGTTCTCGGGCCACACGCCGATGGTGGTGAAGGTGATGGGGCAGTGGTTGCTCGCCCACACTACATCTCGGAGCGACGACGCCGACGTCACCTGGCGGCAGGTCGTTGCGTTCCCTGCATAAATACATGAACCTTTATTATTATAAGCCACGTCAGAGATCCTCATGCATTACAAAGGCATTGAAGGAATTCTTAACAATAGAGGGCGCCACCCACATGAATCATTATATATATATATATAAAACTTCACACGATATATTGTTATTGTAAATTACTCGATGGATTTGAATGAAATCTGCTACACGGATAGATTGTAATAATTTAAAATATATTTAATTACAGCAAGAAAGAAATATTTATTTAATACTATAACTTAATAATGACTTACAAAATAATAGTTCGTAGTCCCCAGAATTGCTCCTTATGTACTGACTGTCTTCAGACCAATCCAGGTGCGTTATATAACTCGAGTGACCCTGTGGAACAGGCGCATTGAATGTATGAGAGACAGGCGGGTAGAAATAAAAAAAAAAAAAAAAACTAAAACAATCACTGGGATTGCGAGCTAAAGGACATGCCATGTTAAGTACTAATGAAAGAAAGTTAAATTATAAGATTATATGTAGACTAGTTAAAAAAATCTACGGTTAGCTGTTAGAATGTATCTGGCATATAGTATTGAGCTCGCCATTTGTACAAAGTTCGTTGTGCAATAAAAAATAAAATAAATATATAAATCTACAATGGAATTCTTCTACCCACTTTTTTTTTATACAACTTAGAATGGCAAACAAGTTGACGGCCCACCTGATGGAAAGTGGTAACCGTCGCCTATACACATGAACAGTACCATGGATATAACAGAGTATACTGTTTCGCCCATGATACCCCCCCATGCGTTGCCATTCCTGAGGACTCAGGTGTTATTCCTCTGTACCCAGTAAATTCACGCCATATCCCACCCTTCAAACTGAAACACAACCATGCAAACACAAGTGCTTCACGGTAGAAACACGAATGGGACAGAGGTATCCAAGCAATCGACTTTTGTACAAAGTCTCACCACTTACAAAATGGTGCTATTCTATAATCGATAATGAAATCCATGCAAAAAGAATTACGAAGAGATTCATTTAGCGTTTATTAGATAAAAGGATGTCCATGCCATACAATGTGGAGGTTTTTCTGTATATACATAAGTTCGACTTTGTACCGCTTTGATATAAAGTCGAAAATTCTCTGGTAATATTCAGTAATGGAAATGTATGACGAGGATCATGCATGTATTTATATGTTCTATTATGTACATGGTCAGCTATTTTGACAAAATAAATTATCGAATTATGTCAATGCAGATTTAAGATTAAAATAAACACATAATTTTGATATTCAATCTTGATCTGGTTCGTGAGACATTTCCAAGAGAAATTATTAATAATATTACATTTTTTTTTAGAAAAAAATTAGTACCTAATGAGCTAAAGAATAATGGAAATGATTAAATAGATTGTACACGAAATATAGACATATAAATTAACCAACAAATAACTTGAAGGCAAGTTGAGCGTTTTCAACAAAATACAACCGAATTGAGAATCTGATTGTTTTTGAAGTCGATTCGAAAAATCGACTTCACTTGTGCCAAAACCAGTTATTTTATATTAAAAACTAAACTACTGAGTCAGTTTTAATAAAATTTCTATGGTATCAATCTGTAAGTATATCCCCTTTCAAATAAAAATAGTACATTACTGCAGCGGCCAGCAACTGAGGCATTGATGGACGAACGTGCAAATGTGGGCTGAGGCGTAGCCAAGGCACACATACGTGAGTCCATCAATGCCTAGTTGTGGCCAAGGCTTGTATAGTACATTACTGCAGGGGCCAGCAACTGAGGCATTAATGAACAAACCTGTAAATATAGGCCGAGGCGTATCCGAGGAGGCGAGGTTTTTTTTTTTTCAATAAACAGCTTAATATTTGGAAGCCAGTTGGAAATTTAAATAAAACCTTTTATTAGTTACCTCCTTGGTAGCCATGTTTCGAAGTAAAAGGTCATTCCATTTTTAAATTACAGGACAGATATGAGTTTACATAGTAATTTATCTGGCCGCAAAACACGACAGATATGGATTTTCATACAACTTTTGCCGGCCGCTGCTCGCATGTATCTGGCCAGTACGGCAATTTTGATTTATCTCGAAGAAGATTGTCAAAATAATGCTCACATTTCCAAGCATGTTTGAGGAAAAAGAATTTTCCAAATCGGTTTACAACTAATGGAGTTATGAGATCACAAACATAAAAAAAAATACGACCGAATTGATAACCACCTTTTTGAAGTCGGTTAAAAAGGAAAAGGCTCTCAATTCGGATGTATTTTTTTTTATTTTTGTTACCTCATAACTCCTTCATTTGCAAATTGGTCTCATAGAAATTTTATCAAAACCGCTTCAATAGGTTATTTTTTAAATAAAAATATTTAATTTTTCCACAATTGAAGTCGGTTTTCTTCGTGGAACATAATCTTATATTATTATTTGACGTCGGTTAAAGATCTATATAATGAATTTTCATGAATATTCCACAGTATAATGAGTGAAGTATATTTATAATTCGTGTACAATCTATTTATATGAATGATAGTTTACCCTTCTGCGTTTTTTCTCCGTGCACTTGTGCGTGAAATTGATCACAAGAATTCAATTAAAACAGTGATAAACATGATCGTTAATTGTTTTAAATATTTAAAATGTAAACAACGGCGCGGACTTAACTAGAATTCTTTTTTCTACAGTGAATACCGTGGGATTGTTTAATATTCTTGAGCTTACACTTACCATTTTATTCATAATAATCAATACCTTCTACAAACCTATTTTAACTATTAAAATGTTTTAATTAACACTTTATAGCTCCAATATTACAGGAATTGTTAGAACAGAACAGAACAGAACAGAATAGAATAGGAATAAATGCTTATTGTTAGCTATACATTACAATTATATGTGTATATTATAAGTACTTGAAGGTGTTCTATCAGTTTTTTTAAATTAAGAATCTAGCGCAAAAGGACAAAACATTTCAATAAAATAGGTTCAAAGAAGAAAAAGTGATAAACATGAACCAGAGCATTACACCATAGACAACATAGATTTGGTACAGAGTATGTCATACTAGACTTATGATAAGTAAATAGAGGAATTTTTCGACATTATTAGAATTAAATCGATAACAATTAATTTAAAACAATTAACATTGGAACACCAATAAAATGTAAGTGTGAGTTAAAAACATATTAGCTTGAAATAACAGTTTTATTACTTATGGCCAAAAAAAAGATGACGTCAAATAAAATTGTTTGTGGTAGAACATTAAAGAGAAACTAAGCCAGTAGTAGAGGTTCTGATGACGAGATGACAACAAGAAATGTTTGAATTGAATAAATTGTTCTGCGTAATTCTAAAATTATTTTATTTACGTTTGTGTATGAATGTACCATAGTGTTTTCTATTCAAGTCAAGGGAATTATACGCATTATTGTATTTTTTTTTTTTATACAACTTAGAATGGTAAACAAGCTGACGGCCCACCTGATGGAAAGTGATAACCGTCGCCTATAGATATGAGCAGTACCATGGATATAACAGAATATACTGTTACGCCCATGATACCCCCCATGCGTTGCCATTCCTGGGGACTCAGATGTTATTCCTCTGTACCCTGTAAATTCTCGCCATATCCCACCCTTCAAACCGAAACACAACCATGCAAACACAAGTGCTTCACGGTAGAAACACGAATGGGACAGAGGTACACAAGCAATCAACTTTTGTACAAGTCTCCCTATCTGCGATATGCAGGTACTCACGAGGCACTTCCCGAGGCGCGTGTACCTCGCGCCGTCGTCTTCGACGCGGTACACGTAGATGAAGTTGTCCCGCGAGCCCAGCGCCACCAGGCTGTTGTCCGGCGAGTACTGGATCGTTTGGATCGGTTCCGCTCTGATGGATCGTACATTAGACAAATAAGTAATTTTTTTATACACAAATACATCAGGCGGGTCGTATGCTTTTTTGCTACCTCAATGGTATAAAAAAACCACTGAGGTGGCAATTAAGCGTACGACCCACCATACAGATGGGAAGCCGTTACCGTAGCCTATGAACGCCTGCAATACCAGGGGTATTATGCGCGCGTTGCCGACCCTGAAGAAACCTCTTTACCCTCCTTTTGAAGAATCCTTAAGTATGAAAAGTACATGCAGTATCATGGACATAACAGAGTATACTGTTTAGTCCATGATATCCCCCTATGCGTTGCCATTCCTGAGGACTCAGGTGTTATTCCTCTGTATCCTGTAAATTCACTGCTATATCCCACCTTTCAAGCCGAAACACAACTATACAAATATAACTGCTTAACGGTAGAAATACGAATGGGACAGAGGCGTCCAAGAAAACGACTTTTGTACAAAGTCTCCCTCTGGTAATAATAATGTATTTTATCACAATGTGTGTACGCATGTGCGTGTGTGTGTATGTGTGTGTGTGTGTGAGTGTGTGAGCGTGTGAGTGCGTGTGAGCGTGTGAGTGCGTGTGTGTGTGTGTGTGAGCGTGTGTAAGCGTGTGCGTGCGTGTGTGCGTGCGTGCGTGTGTGCGTGCGAGCGTGCGTGTGAGCGTGCGTGTGTGCGTGCGAGCGTGCGTGTGTGCGTGCGTGCGTACGTGTGAGCGTGCGAGCGTGCGTGTGTGCGTGCGTGCGTGTGCGTGTGTGCGCGTGTGCGCGTGCGTGCGGTGTGGTAGTAGGTGTGGTGGAGGCCACGGACCCGTCGTGGTGCCTGGCAAGCAGCTGGCGGCTGGCGGGCTCGAACACGAGCCAGGCGCCCGACAGGCAGCCCACCGCCAGCACGCCGCCGTCCCGCGACCACGCGCAGCACTGCGCCCGCTCCTGCCCACAGACAATCGCAATCGGTCACTAGTACTGCTCGCTACATACAGAGATCAACTTAAATACATTCACACTAGCAGCATATCAGACCGATCTTCAGTCGCTTATCTTCCGTTGCAGAACACCAATACATCAAATTGAATAAAATTCGCTATTCTGAATTACACTGCGCGGAAGATTTTTTTGTAATAAGTGATAATGGAATGGTAACCCCGCCTGCGCTATTGGAATATGCTAGCGGGGCACTAGTGAGGGATGATAGGTGAGGATGAAAAAGCGGGCCAATTAGCCCTTCGTGACGAATTCCACTAGATTTAACCACGACAGTTTCCAGGAAGAACCGCGTGGAAATCGGCCTGATATAGTGTATTGCTAGCAATGGGCCAATTAGACCCCATTACTAACAATCCTTTTCCCCCTGCGCGGAAGATTGATCATTATGTTGACATTGCGTCACGGAAAACTTGCACCTGCAGGAATCGACGGAAGATTGGCAACACTGAATTAAACGAACAAAATGATATTATGAAACTTGACCTAAGTACCCGTTTTTTTTTTTTGATGGGTGAAAAATGGTATGGTAACCCCGCCTGCGCTAACGGGATACGCTGGCGGAGCACCAGTGAAGGGTAATAGATGAAAATGAAAATAGGCCAGTTAGCCCATCATGATAAATTCATAAGGAATTAAACCATGGTAGTTTCCAGGGAAAACCGCGAGGAGGTCGACCTGGTTGGGTATATTGTTAGAAATGGGATTCTCAGTCTCCATTACTAACAATCCTTTTCCCCCCGCTAAGTACCCGTTCAGGTTCGCGTAGGTATTTATCTTCATCATCACGGCTGAGCGTTTACTGTCCACTGCTGAACATACGCTTCTTCTATAAACGAGGGTTTTGCCAGTAGTTGCCACGCTTGGCAAGCGAGTTAGTAACCATGGTTAGGCTTTGGTGATGTTTTAAATCGCTTCTTGGCAGTCAATATACTAAAAAAAAAAAATTTACTAAAACGCCTACGAAATATTAATTTGCAGAGGTAATTTTTGGACACAATACCTAATCCTACTAACAATACCTAATAAGTGGACATTGGGGGAAAGGGATTGTTACTAATGGGGAGATTAGTTCTCATCGCTATACCTTTTATCAGGTCGACCTCCACGCGGTTCCCCCTGGAAACCATCGTGGTTAATTCTTGTCGAATTCATCATGGTGCGCCAACTGACCTGCATTCATTCTCACCTATCAGCTTTCACTGGTGCCTCGTCGGTGTATACCGATAGCACGGGCGGGGTTACCATTCCATTATCACCCATTAAAAAAAGACTTATCCCGACTTGGTACGCGATAGATATAAGGATTCGCAACGCACAAATTGCTAGCAATGGTACTATTAGACCTCATTACTAACAATCCTTTCCCCCCCAGTCGGGATAGGTCGTAAATATATTTCATGTACGAATTATTACAATAAATATACATACGTCGATGTCCTTGCTCCAGACGGTGGAGTGGCTGAGTCCGTCCCAGAGCTGCAGCAGGCGGTCCCAGCCGGCCGTCGCGAACTGCGGCAGAGTCGGGTGGGCCGCTAGTCCCCATAACTCGTCCACGTGGCCTATTTTCAACATATAATATCACTAATTGTTCCCCATAGCTTTGCCTGCGTGGAATTACGATAAATGGCAATAAGTCACCCCTTCCTTTCCCGTGGGTGTCGTAAGAAGCAACTTTTTTTTTATGGTTTGCAGTACAGTATTTAAAGCATCCCGTCCTCGCTATCGGATACAGGTGACGGAATGCCTATACAAGAGGGTACATGGTGGGCGCAGTTTAGACGCAATATTTGAGGGGCATTAGGAAGGTACTATGGCCGGATACTGCAACAAATAAGTACGGTCGGCCCCCGAACTGGCGACCTCTGCTGTCTACCGGTCCCCAATTCGAGGGACGACCGATCACCGGACGAGGGATAGGTAGCAGAATCCCTGTTAAAGCATATTTAAAGCCGCAACGTGCAACAAGCGTGGCAGCTACTGGCAAAACCCCCAAGGGGGAGGCTTATGTTCAGCAGTGGACAGTTAAGGGCTGATGATGATTAGAAGGTGGATCGTTATGTTAAACTACTACAATAACATCAAAGTCAGCGTACATAAAACGGTTACCACTTTCAACAATTGATTGCTAGACTTCGACCTCACCTGATGAAATGTAAATGTAATGACAAAGTCGTATATGGAGTTTCCGGATCCAGATTTACCAAAGGGAGACTTTGTACAAAAGTCAATTGCTTGGGTACCTCTGTTCCATTCGTGTTTCAACCGTGAAACAACTGTGTTTGCATGGCTGTGTTTCGGTTTGAAGAGTGGGATATGGCGTGAAATTACTGGGTACAGAGAAATAACACCTGAGTGGCAGAGTGAGAGAGAGGAATGGCAACGCATGGGGGGTATCATGGGCGAAACAGTACACTCTGTTATGTCCACGGTACTGCTCATGTCTATAGGCGACGGTTCCCACTTTCCATCAGGTGGATCGTCAGCTTGTTTGCCATTCTAAGTTGTATAAAAAAAATCCTTTAACAACCTATTCATTTTTTCCTTAATAAAGTCTATAGGTCCTTCTATAGGTAATAGTTACCACTTTCCTTCCTTCTGTCCCATGTAGTTATTCATCTGTTTTCCCCTTTCTCCTTTGCCCTCTATTTTTCCTTCTACTATGCTTTTTAAAATATCGACATGTCGTATAAAGCGGCCCAGCATTTTGCCTCTTCTATTCTCTATTGTTTTTATTAATGTTCTTTTCTTGTTCACTCTTTTCAAAACTTCCTCGTTTATTATTTTTTCTGTCTAGCTTCCATTCCAGTTTCCATTCTCCTCCATGTCCACATTTTGAATGCCTTATACATCTTCCTTTCTTAATTTTAAAGTTAAGTTAATTGTCCCATATAGGGATTCTCCCATAAAGGGGGTTTTGTCAATAGTTGCTATGCTTGGCAGACGGGTTGGCAACCACAGTCAGACTTTAATGATGTTTTAAGAGGGATGCTGCTGCCCATTCCTCGACCATTCTCTTAATCGCTTCTTACGATACCCACGGGAAAGGAAGGGATGGCCTATTCTATATCGGGATCATATGGCACTAGTTTTATAAAAAAGTATAATTACCTAATACGGCAGGCGAGAAACCCAGTTCCAGGTCACCGTGTAGGATGCAGTTCTTGGTGGTGCCGATGAAGATCTGACTTCCTCGCCCCTCCGCCACCACACGCACTCCACCATAATGGCCCTCGATCTTATAGAAAAATAAGAATATATTGAATTTGACGAATATTTAAAAAAATATTAACATACTCGTAAATTAGTTTTAACCCGCGACTTCGTCCGCATGACCCGGATATGTTTTTGACCGAAATAAATAGCCTATGTCTTTTACCATCCCATATAGTATGTGTATACCAAATTTCATAGTGATTTGTATAGGCATTAAGCAGCTAAGGGGTAACAAACAAAATTTTACTTTCTCTATCACTACATAGTATAAAGCAAAGTCGCTTCCCGTCTGTCTGTCCCTTTGTATGCTTAGATCTTTAAAATTACACAACGGATTTTGATGCGGTTTTTTTTAATAGATAGAGTGATTCATGAGGAAGGTTTATATGTATAATACATGCAAAATATAGTAGAGGAACACATTTTTTGCGCTTACATTGCAAACGCTGACTGAACCGTACGAAATAGTTTAAAATAATGTACTACAGTATTGTACACCTTAAGAAGATCTATAAAAAAGTCCGCGATGGTATGTCTATCTCTTAGGGATAATCTACAATAACCATTTTTTATCCCTTACTTTTTACGAGAAATAATGGCTTATTTACAAAGCGATTTTAAGCAATAATCCTTATCCAATTAAAAACGCTAAATACATTGTACATTTAATATAGATCAATATGGCCTTTTACACCATGCAATTTAAATTAATATTTTTGAAGATATTACAGATTTAAAATCCCGGGACATAGCGGTTGCGGGGGTACCGGCCGGGATGCCAGCGTTTAATATCAGCATTGCATCCGTGTAAAGCTGGGACGGGTCGCTAGTCCTATTATAAATGAGAAAGTGAGATTGTTTGTTTTGTACCTCTCAGCGTTTCAACGGCTTAACTGATTACTAAGAAAATTTACGTACGCGGACGAAGTCATAAGCAAAATCTAGTTTGTAATATTAGTAAGTATTTATGAGTAACGAGGCAGTTCCCAACTGACCGTGTTCTCGAGGCCGGTGGGGTTCATCTCCGGGTCGAACATGACGATGCGGCCGTCCTTGCCGCCGGCCGTGAGCACGTGGCCCTCCTTGAGCACGGCGACGGAGAACACCGGCCCCTCGTGCACGCCGCGCAGCAGCTTGGCCACGCTGTTGGTGCCGCGCGCCCACACGCTGATGTTGCCGCTCGAGTCGCCGGACACCACGTCGCCTGCCTCACCAATTGCTCATGTAACAGGACTGGACGATTTCTACGACGCACACTGCGTTGCTTGTAGGCATGGGTTATATTGGTACCGGTTCAATATCTATGTACAGTGGTACCTCGACATCACACCTCGACATTCATTCGTTCCGTAACCTTGCTCGTATGTCAAATTGCTCGTATCTCAATTTTCCCCATTAAAATTAATTAAAATGCCATTAATCCGTACCTCTAAAAAACCACCTCAACTGTTTTTGTTAAATGTTAGTTTGAGGTGGGAGAAACTGTTAGAGATTGATCTCTAACAGTGGATCTTGAGATCCACCCCGCATGTTGAGGTCGTGTGCAGCGGTGTAGTGTGCGATTCCTCGCATCTCAAATCTTGCTCTCATCTCAAAGCAAAATATCGCTCGCTCAGCGGCTCGTATCTCAAAACATTCGTATATTAGGGCACTTGTGTATCGAGGTATTAAAATATTTTTTTTATGGGTGATAACGAAATAGTAACCTAGCCCGCGCTATCGGTATACACCGGCGGGGCACCAGTAAAAGATGATAGAAGAGGATGAAGCAGATCAGTTAACCCATTGTGACGAATTCAACAAGAATTGTTCACGATGGTTTCCAGGGGGAATTACGTGGAGGTCGACCTGATAGGCCATATTGCTAGCAATGGAGCTGTCAAACTGCATTGCTAACAATCCCTTTCCCCCCAGGTATTACTGTATTAGGTTCTTTTAGGTACTAATGGCAGCAAAAAAAGGAAAAATATATCCATTCTAATATCGAACGTACCGGTGGGATATCTATATTAACTTCAATCGAGTTCTTCATTTCGACATTGAATATTGGATAACTGACATTTAACATATTCGTTTTTGAGCCAGTATATAGATATTGCTACTTAAATATATAGATATTGCAACTTAAATAAATAGATATTACAATTTAAATATATAGATGTTGCAACATTAATATATAGATATTGCTACTTAAATAAATAGATATTACAATTTAAATATATAGATGTTGCAACATTAATATATAGATATTGCAACTTAAATAAATAGATATTACAATTTAAATATATAGATGTTGCAACATTAATATATAGATATTGCAACTTAAATAAATAGATATTACAATTTAAATATATAATTGTTGCAACATTAATATATAGATATTGCAACTTAAATAAATAGATATTACAATTTAAATATATAGATGTTGCAACATTAATATATAGATATTGCAACTTAAATAAATAGATATTACAATTTAAATATATAGATGTTGCAACATTAATATATAGATATTGCAACTTAAATAAATAGATATTACAATTTAAATATATAGATGTTGCAACATTAATATATAGATATTGCAACTTAAATAAATAGATATTACAATTTAAATATATAGATGTTGCAACATTAATATATTGATATTGCAACTTAAATAAATAGATATTACAATTTAAATATATAGATGTTGCTAGTTTAATATATAGATGTTGCTAGTTTAATATATAGATATTACTGTGTGTTGCCTGATGGATTGAATTCTCCTCAGTCAGGTCAATTTAGGAGAGGAACATTTCTGAATTGGCTCGAGTCTAGATATTCTGGGTTGTTTTTTTTTCTCTGGCGACACTGCCGATAACAGTCTTTGTCAGTTGGCTCTTATTTATTTATTGTTTTTAATTTATTACTTGTGAAATAACGATACTAGTGTATATAATCAGTGAGTTTTGGTCATAAGTAACGTCGATTGTTGTTGGTGTGTAAATCTGTGATTTCTTTGTGACAAAAATCTACGTTACAAAATTTGTGGGACCGCCAACTGTCAAAGTATTGGTAATTTACAATAGAAGTCTTGGATTTCTATTGACTCCTTTAATAATTAAATGCAGTTATTACACTTCACTATTACTATATCCATTTACAAATAAACAATAATATTAAAGTCAAATATTCTATAGTGAAGATCGGTTGTTGTTGTTGAGAGGAAAAAAAAAAAAAAAAAAAAAACTACCCACTAACATAAAATATTATTGCAATAATTACAGCTCATAAAATTTATTTATTATCATATTGATAATATATTCCAAATAGCTGTACGAAACTAAACTTATGTATTTTATTAAATAACAATACAATATTAGTAATCCATAGCCATTGCTAGATATCATATGACAAATTAAGACATATTTACTGTAGTGGTAATATATAAGATTAATTATTTTTTTTTTTTTGTAACAGTATTGGTATTTAAAGGATTTACTAACAATATTTATTTATTTATTTATTATTAAATTATTTATTGTATTATTTTATTGAAGGGAAATAGCGCACTTTCAACACTGTATTTCTTCTATTGAATAATATTCATTGTTGTCTTGTTTCGTAGATATTTAACATAATAATTAAAAATGATGTCCCGCAGAGCATGTGATCTTGATGCTAAGCTCAAGGTGACACTCTTAGAGTTAAAAAAATCCAATGAATTAAATAAGGCCTTATTACAGGAACGAGATGAAAGTGAGATTGAAATTAAGTTGATGTCTGATAAATATGTGGCTCTGAAGAATGACCTAGTGAAGATCAGTACAGACTTTGAAGTTCTACATATCGAAAAAGAAAAACTTCAAGAAATTGTAAATAAATATGATCTGTGCAGAGACACATATGAGTCAGCATTGCAGAAAATCACTCATCTAGAGCGGCACCTTGAGGAAGTTCAATCACAAAATAAATCTTTGTTGGATCACAGGCGGTTGAGTAGTTATAACGAGACCATGGATCTGTATACAGAAATGTTAAATACTACTAGTGATCAAACATCTGCTCTGCCCCTTGTGACCATAGATTTGACAAATACACCAAGCTCCTATAGTCCTAATAAAGTACCTATTAATAGTAGTAAGAAGTTAAAAAAATATGTAAAATTAAATAAATTTATTCGAAAATCAGAAAATTTAGTGAAAAGTCATAAAAAGTGTTTAAAATCAATTATTACTAGGAAGCAAAAAATTGACTTATCAATAGAATTAAATAATTGTAAAGAAAAAATATATAACAAAGATTTAGAAATAGATGAATTATCACAAAAAATTAAACTATTAGAGAACTCGTTGTCCAATTTATCTTTGAAATACGAATCAGCTAAGAATGAAATACATGAATATTCTGATCAGTTAGATAATTTAATAAAATTGGGTAACTACAACATGGAGCGGTTTGTTTCTCTTACGGATAGATGTCACTGTAATTAACCAGAGTCTGATAACTATATCCAACCGTCCCACCATAATCAGTTGAACATTGATATCTCATCCGTCACGGAGCCAGACGTTTCATGTTTACCCACACGAAACAGTACAAAAGTAAATAAATGCAGCACTGTACATGAAACCATCAGGAGAACAATTGTTTATTCAGATGAATTTGGCAAGGATTTAGGTAGTTTATTATCGAACTGCCTCTCGCAACAAGTAATAAATAATTGTTTTCCGGGATCAGGTATATATAAGATTATAAAAAATATAGAAAATGAAAAATATGATATTCACACGACCCTAGTAATAGCGTTAGGGAATTGTTTGCATATGCGTAAATCTGATATAGTTAATTTAATAAAATCATTATATAATATAGTGGAGCTTGGTATAGGTAAAATATTATTATGCGCATTTCCCTACTCTCAATCCCTGACTAATGAACAGAATAAGTTCATTTATAGTATAAATAATTTAATTTATTCGATGACATATCATTGTAATGATATATTTTATTTTGAAAGTAACAAATTTGTTACAAATTATTATATGACGGGAGGTAATTTTTATCTTCCTAAAAAACAAAAAAAGACTATTGCTAGTTTACTAGCGTATAACATTTATGATCCCATTATAAGTAGTATAACGGGTTTAATTAGTAATATTAGTAATTATACTAATAATGTGACATGTGTTAATTTAAACTAACATCTACGACATTGGTTAAGCCACAGGATATGGTCATTATTCATCAAAATATTCGTGGCTTCTCCAGCAAAGAATTAGAATTAAGTCTTTTCTTAGAATCTAACAATGTACGGGTGTTATGTCTGACAGAACATTGGCTTAAACAATATGAAATAATTTGTCCTTTTGAACATTATAATATAGCTAGTTTTTTTGCTAGGAACAATGCCATTCATGGCGGATCAATTATTATTTTAAAAAATGATGTAGAATATAAAAACCGTCAAGACATTGTAAATATTTCTATTGAGCAAACAATTGAACTATCTTGCGTAGAATTAGTTACTTGTATAATAATTTGCGTTTATCGTCCGCCATCGGCTTGTTTTGATTCTTTTGAACTGGCTATGGAGGAAGCATTGAGACGAGTCGCACGGAGGAATAAAACATTATTTGTATGTGGCGATTTTAATGTTGATTTATTATCGGAATGCTCAATAAGCTTAAGATTGATTAACTTATTTAAATCATTTAATTTGCACAATCTTTTTTTAGAACCCACTAGGGTCGCAGGAAATTCTGCCACTTGTATAGATAATGTTTTTTGTAATTGTGAAGTAAAGGTGAAAATGAATTTCGACTGTCTTGGATCTGATCATTACGGACAAAAAGTTATAATTGAAACTAAGGGATCCAAAGGGACTCAAACAATTACATGCAGACAAATAACACAAAAGAATTTGGCACGTTTTAAAAATAAAATTGAACATAAAATATCTAGTGTCATAGTACCTCAATATGACCCGGACATTGTATGTGAACATATTTTTAATTTAATTGAACATGAAGCTAGCAGTGAATTTAAAACAAAAACATTTTCAACTAGTGTAAAATCAAAGTTTTGTGACTGGGCCACGTTTGGTATTTATAAGTCTAGGGCTAATCTTTACGAACTTTACGAAAAACGAAGCTATATATCCGATCCCTTATTTCATGAACATGTAAAATCTTATTCGAAAATATTTAAAAAGGTTTGTCATACAGCTAAGTCTCTCTATTTAGGTAAAATAATAACTAAATCTAAAGATAAAATAAAAGCCACTTGGAAAGTAATAAATAGCGAAACTGGAAAAGTTAATTTTCAAAATAGCAAAATAGCTTTAAATATTAATAACAAATTGGTAAATTCCGACACAGAGGTCGCGCATACATTCGAATCTTATTTTACTAATATTCCATTAATTACGACACAGGCTCTAAAATCTTCCCCGTCTGCTGCTGAAACTTTACTAACAGACAATGTTAGCAAGTCATCAGCTGTATTTAACTTTAGACATACATCATCAGTAGAAATAATGAAAATATTCAAACAACTTAATAATAAAAAAACAGAGGATCTATGGGGTATATCTGTTAAAATACTGGATAGTATAATGGAAATTATTGCGCCTTCTCTTGCTTTTATTTTCAATAAATGTATAGATGAAGGTAAATTTCCTAACATAATGAAAATTAGTAAAATCATACCGCTTTTTAAATCTGGAGATAGGAGTGACCCAATAAATTATAGACCTATATCCATACTCCCAGCACTCAGTAAAATTTTTGAAAAAATAATCCTTATGCAACTTGTCAGTTATTTCAATTTAAATAATTTAATCCACAATAGTCAATTCGGTTTTTCCAAAGGTCGTTCAACTACAGACGCAGGTGCAGAGTTGCTTAGACACGTATTTGCTGCATGGGAAACTAAAATGGATGTGATAGGTGTTTTTTGTGACCTTTCTAAGGCTTTTGATTGCGTTGATCATAATACATTGCTAAAAAAACTTGCTTTTTATGGCGTCAAAGACAATGCTTTAAATTTAATAAAATCTTATCTATCTGATAGAATACAGAAAGTGAAGATTAGCAACGCTACGTCTGACGGGTCACTTGTACAAATGGGTGTACCTCAAGGATCTATTCTCGGTCCATTTTTATTCCTAGTTTACATTAATGATCTCCCATATGCCATGCAGGATAGATGCGGCATAGTATTGTTTGCAGACGATACTTCATTGATTTTTAAAGTTAATAGAATGACTAATAATTATGACGATGTAAATAGTGCTTTGCGGCGTCTCCTGCACTGGTTTACAACTAACAATCTTATGTTAAACGCTAAAAAAACAAAATGTGTTAATTTCTCTCTATCTAAAAGTTTTAATACTAATTGCAATATTAAATTAAATGACGAATCTCTCGAATTTATAGAATCTACTGTCTTTCTAGGAATCACACTAGATAGTAAAACACAATGGGGTGCACAAATTCAAAGCCTTGCAGCGAAACTAAGTTCAGCAGCTTTTGCCGTGCGTAAAGTTAGACAGTACACTGATACTGATACTGCTAGATTAGTCTATTTTAGTTATTTTCATAGTTTACTCTCTTATGGAATATTACTATGGGGAAAAGCGGCAGATATTAAGAATATATTCATATTACAAAAACGTGCCGTTCGAGCGATCTACTGTATGAAGAGTCGTGACTCATTAAGAGAGAAATTCAAAGAGGCAAATATTCTCACCGTTGCTTCTCAATTTATATATTCAAATATTCTATATGTTCATAAAAATCTTGACTTATTTCCAAAAAACAGCAATATTCATAATATTAATACTAGATTTAAAGACAAACTTGCTGTCCCCAAGTATCGTTTAGAAAAAGTTAATAGGTCTTTTATGGGAATAGGTATAAAAATTTACAATAAGATACCAAAGGATATGTTGGAATTACCCTTAAATAAATTCAAAACATCTGTTAAATCATATTTACTGAGCAAAGCCTATTACTCACTAAACGATTACTTGAATGACGAGTGTGCATGGCAATAGTTGTTCATGCACTGAATTTTCATTTAATGTTAGACATAGACACCTATATAAATATACATTGTAAATAAACTGGCTTTAAAAAAAAAGTAATTCAATTGAGTTTCTTGCCAGTTCTTCTCAATTGGATCTATATACCGAACTGGACGGTAGGGTAAATATAAAATTATAATGTACAAATTTGACGTTCATAAGCGGCTAAAATGTCCTACATGAATAAATGATTTTTGAATTTGAATTTGAATTTGAATTTGTGCTCCCAGATGTTTGTTGTCTAATTCTCATAAGCTAAGGTGTCTTAGTTCGAGAATCAAGGAATTGCTGTGATTAAACGGCACTAGAAATAATAAATAACGACTCACCAAATAAAAGGAAGGAGGGGGAGAAGGAATTATTAATAATGAGGATTAGTAACCCCATTACTAGCAATATACCCTGGCAGTTTGACCTCCTCGTGATCCTCTCTGGAAACCATCGTGCTCAATTTCTAGTGAATTAATGACGACGAGCTAACTGACCTGCCTTTTCATCCTCATTTATCATTTTCACTGATGCCCCACCAGGGTATTTCGACAACTCAGGCAGGGTTACCATCATATTTACATCCATAAACAAAAAATAGAAAGTGGTAAACATATGATATACATATGAACAGTATGTGGGCATCGGTGTTATGGCTCCGTACCTTGTAACCCATACTCTGATACATATTTACAAGCGACGGTTACTACTTTCCATCAGGTGGACCATCCGCTCTTTTGTCATTCTATGTACTATAAAAAAAAAAAAGCCAATTAGAGCGAACGTACCATTGTGATTGAATCCTAAACACGTAACGTATTTGGGCTTGTCGCGACCTTCGAACACGCCCATTCTCTTGTACAGCATGTTGGTGCTGTCCAGCGTCCAGAACGCGATGTGGTTCTTGCCGCACGTCACGATCTGATTGCGGTCCAGCGGGTGGAACTCAACCGCCACCACCGTGTCCACGGAGCACTGGAAGATGAGAGGCAACCAGCTAATAAGTGCACAGAAGTAAAAGCAAAAACAGTTTTATATATACGTAATAGCAAAAGCGACTTTTACGCTTTTTTTTCTCGAATACAGGTGAGTAAGTTTATTTATTTAAAAAATTCTAAATTGAGAGGCAAAAGTGAGATATTCCAGCAAGTTACCTCTATGTTCCATTTGTCTGCTAGATAGACTGTCATATCTGTCTGTTTACTGTATAAATGATCTTGTACTATTATTTTATTGTTACCCTATTCCCTTAGGCCACAACAGAATATCAGTGTTTTGCTCTTTTGAGGGCGAAGCAATGAACAAAGTTGTGACCATTTTGTATTGTTATTACATACGCACAAAAGGAAAAATTGTACTTGGCTTTATGTATTTCATTTTAATAATTTCTCTTATCACGTTTTTTATGTATATCATAATTCTACTCTATTTGTCCCACTAGTGTCATCGAATTATAGACAAAATTCGTTCCTTTGGCGAGCTAGCAACAACTTTAATACTCTTTCTAGAACTTTTAATATCGATCTATTTTCAAAAAATATAATATCAGTGAGAAACCAACTTGGTAGGCAATTTTTTTATTCATAGTCTGTTTAAATTACTATTGTATGGATAAAAAGGCCATATTTAGGTTAAATATTTATATTTAATCTTTAATTTGTATTTTACTTATCATTATTATTATTATTATTTTTTGTTTTTATATGTTCTCTCTATTTTGTTCACTTTTTTTTTGTTAACTTGTATTTTTGTAGCTTTGTGTAATGCGTTGCCATTCCGAAGGACTAAGGTGTTATACTACTGTACCCTGATATTTTATTGTCATATCTCATTCTTCAAAACGAAACAAAGCCATTCAAATTTGTATTTGGATGGCTGTTGAAGCAGACAACTGCTTCACGGTAGAAAAATTAGGACAGAGGTATCCAAGCAGACAACTTTTGTACAAAGTCTCCTTCTGGTTGTTTTTTAAATTTTTTTTTATAATGAACATGGCTTAGTCATACTTAATTGGTTTCTAGATTACGAAATAATATTTTTTTACGATAATAATACATGCAAGCAAGTTGATGCCGCTACGGCCAATTTTATTTGTCTTAAATCAGTAGCCCGTGTTTATCCTTGATCTTGTATGTTAGTGGGTCTTCGAGGAATACCATGGAAGAGGAATAAATGGCATTAGCGCGTGATCGCTGACTTTTGTCTGGGATATATGTTAGTGGATTTTTGAGAAATCCATGGAAGAGGAATGAATGAACATTAGCGCGTGATCGCTGACCCTGGTCTCGGATGTATGTCAGTGGATCTTCGAGGGATACACGGAAGAGGAAGGGGCGAAGACTAGCGCGCGGCGGCGGACCTTGGTCTCGGCGAGGCAGTGTCCCTTGTCGGGGCGCTGCCAGTCCCAGACGGAGAGCGCGTGGTCGGGCGCGTCGTCGACGCAGGCGAGCAGCGCGCCGCCGTCCGCGCGCGAGAACGCCACGCACGCCGCCGCGCGCTCCAGCTGCGTCGCGCCCAGCACCGCCAGCGTCGCCAGCGACACCGAGTTCCACACGCGCACGTGCGGCTGCACCGCCACCGACACACACAACCATGCGGATTGCCATAAACACTCATATCGACTCATATACTTTTAATAGAGCATCCCATTTTTGTTTCTATTAGAGAAACATGGACTGGAAAACAGCAAAATAAATTTGAGCACTCACACTAACTTGATTTTAGTTTTATGCAAACTATTATGGCAAACAAGCTAAGAGCTCACCTGATGGAAAGTGGTATCTGTCACCTATAAATATGAGCAGTACCATGGACACAACAGAGTATACTGCTTTGCCCATGACACCCCCCATACGTTGCGATTTCTGAGGACGCACATGTTATTTCTCTGTACCCACCCTTCAAACCGAAACACAGCCATGCAAACATAACTGCTTCACGGTTGAAACATGAATGGGACAGAGGTACGCAAGCAAACGACTCTTGTACAAAGTCTACCTCTAAATTTTATGCCAGAATTTAGCAAAAAATAAAATTAAATATTTAAATAAAGTGTTACAAATATTTCACGTTTTAAAGACGTTTGGACGATCAAATTTGGAATACATACATATTACTCTGGTACATTAACTTGACTAATTCGAAGTCATTTTCCTGCAGTGACGTAAGAAGCGACTAAGAAATTTAACGGTCGCATAATGGATAGGAACGTCCCTGTTAAAACATTACCAAAGCCTAGCTTAGTTTTATGGCGTCTACTCACCCTGGCGTCCAATCGGTCGTGTCCCGCGCACTGACCGCTCGCTATAATTAACTTGTTGGGATGCACCGCGATGCACTTGACGTCGTCCGTGTGCCCGGTGTAATGCCGTTGGCACCGTTCTTCCACGTTGAACAGCACCACTACCGCTGCCACGAAGTATACTATCTCACCGGTCGGCAGGAGGTAGAGGTTGCTGCGGCAGTCTTTACCTCTACAATAATAAAACTTATTTTTTTGTAATATTGAAGATGGTAAATGGTAATTGGGATAAGGATAGGAAGATGATGATGATTGAAGATGGTAAACAAGCTAAAGCAGTGTTTCCCAACCTTTTTTGTGCCATGCCCCACTTGAATATTCTAAAATTTTTATGCCCCCATACATAATTTTTCCCGACAAAGTTTACTTGACGATTCTAATGGCCCAGTCAATATCACAATCAATTATTAAAGTCAATCGCACATGCAAACGACTTTTATACAAAGTTTCTCTCTGGTATGTCCATAGATTATCTTTTATACATATAGTTGAGAGGAGACATATAGAGGATTAAGTTGTGACATTTATTGGAAGTCACACATAATAGTCTGACTTATGCAGGTGTCTCAGGACCGTTCCTTATGGCAGTCTATGGGGGTGACCTATATTCAGCAGTGGACAGATAATGGGTGAGATGATGATGAATTATACAGATGCAATTTAACAAAAAAAAGAAAAATTAAGTACTTAAGTAAATTAAAGTGTTATAAATATTTTACATTTCAAAGATGTTTGGACGATCAAATTTGGAATACATATTAAAAAATGCGTAGTGTATCCATTGGTGCCTTTATGACTGAATAATCTATCAAATTTGGCTTACTTTTTATTTTTTTATACGATAAAGTACTTATTACGTCATTACAAATAACTAATAGGAATTAATTAACATAGAGCAAAGGTAATAATACAATATTAGAAGAAAGTAAAGGTTGTATTTGCTCTCTCTGTTACCGCATGTCATATTAATTTCCAATCACCTGTTAAATCATGTTTACAATGGGTTAGCAGACTCATCGTTACATAGTTAGCAACTCATGCATGACTGCGGACGACCTTGGATACGTGACAAACTTCCGCTGGTGCCTGCTTTTTGCATTATACTAGTACGGCTTTAAAAAGTCAACGAACGCCGTTATGTTTTGGTTCTTTAGCGACGTTTGCACGGGTTTTCCTAATTTCTGTAATGTTTTTGCTTGCTCTTTTGCAATATAACATTATGACAATAAGATTCCGGGTCTGTGTTGAAACGGTGATTACTGCACAATACATAAATATGAATAAATACTTATGTATGTTGTTTACCAACGCTGGTTTGTATAAAACATGGCATCGTGGTTAACCGCTTAAAGCATTGTCTCTTTCCGATGATCACACACATGTAGAATGGAAATTTTATGAAATCACTATATTTAAAAAAAATCGAAAGCAAAAAAGTGTTAAAAAAGAACATTAGTTTAAAAAAAAATGTATTTACTACTATTCTCTATTAGATTGACCTGTGTATGGTTCCCCCTGGAAACCATTGTGGTTAATTGATCTGCGGCCAACGGACTTGCTTTCGTCCTCACGTGTTTTTTTTATGGGTTAAAATGATATGGTAACCCCACCTGCGCTAACGGGATACACTGGCGAAGCACCACTGAAGGGTGATAGATGAGAATGAAAACAGGCCAGTTAGCCCATCATGATGAATTCACCAGGAATTAACCATGATAGTTTCCAGGGAGAACTGTGTGAAGGTCGACCTGGTTGGGTATATTGCTAGCAATGGAATTCTCAGTCTCCATTACTAACAATCCCTTTCCCCCCCATCCTCACGTGTTATCCCTCACTGGTGCCCCGCCAGTGTATACTGATAGAGCGGACGGGGACACTATTCCATTTATCATCATCATACCAGCCTTTAACTGTCCACTGCTGAACATAACCCTCGCCCTTAGGGGGTTTTGCCCGAAGTTGCCACACTTGGCAGGCGGATTGCCATAGGATGGGTCTCCCCTTCCTTTTCCGTGGATGTTGTAAGAAGCGACTAAGAGAACTTAATGCTCGAGGGATGGGCAGCAGCGTCCCTTTTAAAATATCACCAGAAGCCAAATTGCGGTTGCCAATCCGCCTCCCAAGCGTGGCAACTACTGGTACCTACTTATGGGGGAGGTCTATGCGTAGCAATGGACAGTTAACGGCTGGTTCCTATCATCCTTGATGATGATGAAGGTGATGAAATGAAAGGAATTTCAGGTTATCTATTATATATTTTATGAAGGATTTAAGGCTATTTGATTCGGTGTTGCTTAGCAAGCCGTTTTTGATACTTGGTACACGTTATTAGAGATCAAAGTTGCTAGCGTATATTTATGTGACATACTTTTATGTAGCATAGTAATAAAGTAATGGTAAATAATTTGTTCACCTATCATCATCTTCATATCCTTATCCTAATTATTGTTTGGGATAGGCGTAATATGGTTTTATCCATATAACAAAAAGATTTGGCTTATAGTTTTACGACCGGCTGCCTGCCTGACGTCAACCCTCTTTCGGAATTTCACATATAATATATTCATTTCTAGCAACTAAAAAAAAGACTGACCGATTTGCCCTTGTGACACGCGATCTAGACTAGACTTGGGCATGGAATAGTGAATTATTTATTATTTGGTACAAATGACCCCCAGATGCCGAATCAGTTACAATTTTTTTTATTTTTACTTATTTTATAAATATAATAACGCTAACATAAATGTGAAAGTGAGTTTGTCTATTACCTCTTGATACTTTAACGGATTAATAAATTCTCATATGAGGGCGAGACCTTCAACACGAGTATGCAGCAGCTGTTTGTATTCTAAACTATTTATTTATTCTTTAAAAATAATTACAACGTTATGACAGCAAAAGCTAAATCAATGTTATTTGTATAAACCTAGTGTGCTAACATACAAAATTATAATAAAAGTATTTAACCCGACTCCAGATATTTGTGAGCCGCTCCTAATATCTTTGTCAGGCTACTACTAAAAATATCAATGATGTTCATAATATTATGTAATAACCGATTAATTGCACTATAATAATAATAATAATAATAATAATAATAATAAAGATTTATTGCACATAAAAAATATACAGTCATGGGCTTACAGAAATTTCAACGTTAATTATATGTATATAAAGAGTAGCATTATGACACATTAGTGTCTAAACTAGGCCTGCCTGTATCTTAGACACTAATGCCTTCTATTAGATACATATTTTCGTGCAGTTTCGCACATGATTCAGTACATATATATTCTAAAATATCTGAAAATAAACTACAATGTTGCATCAAGAAATGTGCCATTATAAGTAAAAATAGTTGTCATGCTCTGCATTGTTCAGCTGGTCATTAGTGCGATGAAAAAATGAGTCAGGTGAGACCATACAAACTATGAACATTTGCAATTATGAATGGATTTCAATTTATTAATTTTTTTTTCTCTCTTCTTCTTTTTTTTTTTTTTCCTTCCTTTTTCCCTTATTCTTTCCCCTTGTTTACTAGATTTTATTTTCTATGATGATTGATGGCTACATCTTTTACAAATTCATTTGTGGATTTTAAACAAATACTCAACTACATATATAGATATAAACTCACACATCTTAAATGCATACACATATACTAATGGACACCAGAATAATATATAAGTAGCGATTGGGAATGGACAAAGACACGGGAAACATTAGGGCAAAAATTATTATCCATGTATCCCGCTGTATTAATACTACCATAATTAGAGTAATGCTTTTATATAGCTATGCAACTATACAAATACTATGTGTTTTTTTTATTTTTACTGAATATTTTATAAATATAATAACGCTAACATAAATTGTAAACAGTTGTTCCGTTTTATCATAATCTAGGGTTTTGTCTATTATTCCTCTTGATATTATATAAACGGATCATATGAAATTTTGTTATGAAGTGTGTATTAAATTTTTCTGTTTGACAGACCTTGTACTTCCTTCTTAATGTACTATATATTTCCGGATTGCATATAATGCATTAAGCTGTTTGTATTCTAAACTATTTATTTATTCTTTAAAAATAATTACAACGTTATGACAGCTTGAAAAGCTAAATCAATGTTATTTGTGTATAAACCTAGTGTGCTAACATAAAAAAAATTATAATAAAAGTATTTAACCCGACTCCAGATATTTGTGAGCCGCACCTAATATCTTTGTCAGGCTACTATTAAAAATATCAATGATGTTCATAATATTATTTAATAACCGATTAATTGCACTATGAAATGATGAGTGCAATCTGAACGCTTAAAAAATATATATACCCAATCGATAGGAACATTGACCAATCCTTTTTCAAGCAGATTCGACGATTTCCTAGACGACCAATATGGTTGGTCAGCCAAGCGAGGAATTGGTGGCAAAAGGGTAACCTTGATTTGTACAACAAAGAAACAAAGGAATCAGGTGTCTAATTTGCAGAACGAAGGCTATACCTACGGATCGATGGAGTAAAAACACGCAGAGCACTCTAAGCAAATTTTCTCATAATTTATTTTTGGGGTAGCTAGAGAGGAACAACTGCGAAAGATCTATCATGGTTATTGTATAAATCATGCAATACCCATACAAATCGTGTTGTGAAACCTCTCAGCAATACACTTTTTAAAAATATACCTTGGAGTTTCCAGTAGGACTCTGCACTGGTCACAAGGCACGAACTATCCAAGCCTGGCTTAAAACCAACGTTCCGGACATTATAAGAACTGAAGACTGGCCCTCATCTAGCCCAGACCTCAATGCTTTAGACTTCAAATTATTGTTTTAGAGGACATGGTCTGCTCTAAACGACACGGTGACATTAAATCTCTTAAAAAATCTTTGGAGCAAGCAGTGGCGAAATTTCCCTTGGAAACAGTGCCAAAACTATAGACATACTGTCGTGGCCAGACAGATTAAAGGCCTTAATAAAAGCCAAAGGTGGCCATTTCGAATAGACTATTTTTTTATTTTTTTGCTAAGACTAATAAATATATAGGTATAAATTTTAGTAATATTACATTACTTCATAAAAAAAGGGCATTTTCATTTGTAAGAGAACTTATGGTTTGACTAGGTATGTACATAAATGTTATTAAGTAAATTAATCGAATTAATAATGGAAAGAGGTGACACACCCTGTATCACACGTAATATCATTCACTATTAAAAAGAATAATAGTTTTGCAATTATATGCTAATGCGAGAACGTACACAGCTGACATATAGACAGACTGGCCAAGGTTTCACTATTGCTACTTGTGTACCAACCTTGAAAAAGCACAACCCAGCAGAATCCATCCGTAACGACCCACTGATTTTCTATTATTGGGCATCAGTCTATCCTCATAAGAAGAGGATATTCAACTATTATTAGCGACCCTATTGTTAGTGATATACCTGATCAGGTCGACCTCTACGGGGTTTTCCCTGGAGTCCATCTAAATTATTTATAAATTAGACAGAATGGGTCCATTGATATGCTTTTATCCTCACCTATAATCCTTTTTGAGGTCCTGCCAACGTATATCTATAGCGCAAGCGAGATCAACATTTCAATCATTCAATAAAAAAAATAATACCACATTTGTCAAGCTGGTTGGTACAGGCTATTGTTTCAAGTTTCTTTACTCTTTCACCAGAGGGAGACTTTGTACAGACAGGCAGGCCGTCAGCTTGTTTGCCATTCTAAGTTGTATGAAAAAAAAACTGGTTTTGTGCTTTGGTTACTTAGTTGCTTCTCGCGATATGTGGGGATGAAAGGGATTGAGGACATGACAACTTATTTATTCTAATACTGTTTCGTTACTTTACCATCAGTTTTTTTTTTTATAACACAGATGGTAAACAAGCATGCGGCTCACCTAATGGTAAGTGGCTACCGTCGCCCATAATCACCCGCAACACCAGAGACATTGCAGGTGTGTTGCCAGGCCTTTTATCCGATAATTCATTCATATTGTCGAAATAAAAAGGCTCTCACTGCAAAGTAAACAAGCATACGGCCCAATTGGGCTTATGCCCAAAAAGTATTCGCAGATTTTGTCACAATGAGAAAGAAACGCCGCAGCACTGAATGTGTGGCTGTAGCCCACTCATACATTAACGATATACCACCTTTGGAAAACACACTCTATATCCTGAGGAGATAAAAAACGTCGCTACAAAAACATCTTAAAATTCCTATCACTGATAGGAATTAACAGCGAACTTTAGAAAAAGGGGCGAGCACAAAAGATCATGAAAAGGCCTTAGTGTCATAGATTTTTCTGCCTAAAAAAGCCCGTCTTTCAATAATGATAATACATTATTAATAAGGCTTTATTTTTACCTTGTACATTTGTGCTGTAACGAGACAATTTTCTACTGATATAGAAAAAAAAAACTACTTGTACCTGCCAGCAGCCGTGTAGACCTAATAACTATATTTGGAATGGCTATCGCCTTCTCGGACCATTAAAACTCCTAACTTGAAAACGTATGATACTCATACAACGTAGTGTGGGTGGCAATTACGGACTATCTTGGTGTCCACAACAATTGGTAAATTGGCGTACGAAATTCATTTAATGGGCGCTTACCAGAGATCAAACATAGGAACGGCTTGAATAAAAAGCTAAAGCCAAATTATTCTTGCAGATTGAGTTCGTACCAAAGCTGAACGAAGTGTGACAATTTCGGTATTAATTGTCATTATAGAAACATCTATAATGTTTCCTTCTATTATTGTACGCACACTGCTTGCTGGTAATTCATGCTCCTTTCCACTCAGGGTTTGCTGGAAGAGAACTCTTACAGAGTTAAGCTCGCCTGTTGTACATCTTTATTTTATATATATATTATATGTCGTAATTTTTTGTGTACAATAAAGAATAAATAAATAGTCAATTTCCAAAAATAATTCAACTTTATTTTTTATTTTTTATTGGTTAATGTTAACGAAATAATATTATTTATTACTAGCTGCATTCCGTGACTTCGTCCGCGTAAATTAGTTCATGAAGTATACTATGTGCCAAATTAGGATATAATCTATCCGGGTACTAGATTTCATTCAAATTCGTTCAAAGTGGCTTATGAAAGAGGTTAAGTGGGGACCTCGGGGTGGATCCCTTTACCCCAGCTCCAACTTCGGGGGCGAGTACCCCCGAGTCACTGGAATAATGTAGTCGTCTACTAGCGCTGGGTATCGTCTCTTCTAAATAAATTCTTATTTATTTAATCATTTGAAGCTATTCTTAGTTTACTAAAGACTAGAGGGCGCTGTGATGCTGATAATAATGCTGATAGGGCGATGGGCAGCAGCGTTTCTCTTTAAACATCTCAAAAGCCTAACGGTGGTTGCCAATCCGCTTACTAAGCTTGGCAACTGCTGGCGAAACTCTTAGGAGGCTTATGTTCAGCAGTGAACAGTTAGAAGCTGCTGATAAGATGGTGCTGTGTAATTTATCCAGTGGTATTTATTATTATTATTGTGTAATAATTATAATAGAAAATAATATTTTATAAATAACAATCGATGTAATTTGTTAAATTTTATGTGCGTAGCTAAAAATAATGAGTGGTCATAAAATAAACACAGTGACCTTGTTATTTAGTTAATCGATCGATAAAAGCGTTGACTTGAAGTCATCATTATTGGTATATAGTTACCATTATATTGACATCTATTAACTAATTTATAATGTTAACTGTAATTAATTTGTAATGTTATTTTTATTTTGTAATTCAAATGTTATTATTGTTATTATTTATTTTATTAATTTCAAAATTATAATGTAAATATTGACTTGGCATTTGTGTGACGAAAACTGTTACATTGGTTAATAAAGAAATTGATATGACATGACAGAGGTTTTCAGTTATAATAAAACGGGCTGAAAATTGGCCTACAGGAGGCCTAATTGGTCTTTTCATTTCTTTATATCAAAATAGAGATAGTATGTCGAATCCTTTCTCTACTATAAAGTCTCGATATTCGAAGTAATTTTCTCGAATTACGTATTCTCAGCACAAATCGAGATATAATTCGAGACAATCTCGAGTGAAAGAGTAAAACGTTCCATGGACTTTCAATTAAATTATGGTTATTTATTACCAATGAAATTAATCAAAATTTACAATAGAATAATAAAAAAAATATGTCATGTCTTTATAATATTTTAATATGTATTCTGCACTAACAGGGTTCGGTGGGGGGAAAGGGATTGTTAGCAATGGAGTTTGACAGCCCTATTGCTAGCAATATACCCTATTAGGTCGACCTCCACGTGGTTCCCCCTGGAAACCATCGTGAACAATTCTTGTTGAATTCGTCAGGATGGGCTAACTGACCTACTTCATCCTCACCTATCATCCTTCACTGGTGCCCCGCTGGTGTATATCGATAACTGGTATAGCATTAAGTACGCCTTTTGTAGTGAACATATTTTTGTAATGTAATCAGTAAAGAATGAACAATTAAATAAAATAAATATATAAAACAAAAGACTATGCATTAAAGATTAATTAAATAAATAAAGACCACAACCTCAGAAATGGCAACACATGAAGGTACCAAGGGCGTCACAGTATACTGTGATATCCATGCTGCTGTTTATGTCTATAAGCGACGGTTATCTTTTTCAATTAGGTGGGCCAGGAGGACCATTCAAGTTGCAAAAAAAAAAACGAAATTCAGTTTTTGTTGTAAGAAAGAAAGTCTTTGTTGTAAGAAAGAAACAACGAACTCACCTGTATCCATAGACCCACTCGAGCTTGAGCTTGTTTTGCGGCGGTGGCGCCACTTTGGCTGGGTCGAGGGCATCCTGGTCGCTAGACCCGTAGAGGACGACCGGCCGACCCCGCAGGAACATACGCATCGAGCCGTCCTCTTCATTATATTGACATGTGTGAGTGCTATTAAGAGATAATTAAATTAATTAATATTATAAACTCGTGCTGTATGGTTACGGAATAAAATCAACCATTCCTTCCTATCTCGTGTCTGTCGTAAGAGGAGGCTAAGGGAATGGTACAGGATAGCAAGGTCTCTATTAAAACTCGACCAAAGTTTAACTAAGATTGCCAACCCGCTTGCCAAGCGTGGTAACTACTGCCCCCCCCCCCGGTGGACGAAGCCTCTGTTCAGCAATATTCTAAAGTAAAGAAAATTTACTTTTTGTTTGTAATGGATAAACACAAAAAATACTTAATCGATTTTAAAAATTCTTTCACCTGTGGATTATTAGAGATTATTAGATTTTTAGAGAGTAACATAGGCTGGATTTTATTTTCAAAATATCCTGCGAAGCCCAGGCGGTATTTTTAAATATTTTTTACATTATAACTTACTTGCTTTTTCTTACATTATTCACTAGTAGTAAATTATGTATGAAAGACATATACTTAGATTATACAGATAGAGTGTTTCCATAGAAATTCTTCGACAAAAACGGGTCAACTTTTTCATACAATTTTGCGTGATAAATAGTTATGAGTGATTCCTTTATAACTATTTATATTTATTTTATCTTATAATTTCTGCATGTTTTTAATGCGTAAATACTCATTTTTTTTTATTACATAATAGGTCAAGATACATTTTATGCGTAAGTATATAGAATACTGATAAAAAAAACGAGTCAGCTAATTTGACAATTAGCTGTGAAAATGTTGACCCATTTTTAAGATTTTATGCTCTATTTATAAAATTTAAGGACATATATTTGTTTGTTATATACATTGGAAATGAGACATTATTTAGGCTACATTGACCGTTTACCATCAGACGGGCATTTACTATAATTTTTTTTTATAACACAGGGGGCAAGCGAGTATGCTAATCACCTGATGGTAAGTGACTACCGCCGCCCATAAGCATCTGCAACATTATACACCGTTTACCATCCGTTTATTTTTTATTTTAACCACGAAAATTTTGTTGTGTAAATTGTATACTAACAACCTTCGTGGTATAAAAAAAAATATTAGCTGATTCAATCGTTATAAAATTTGGTGTACACATAGATATTTGGGTTGGAGAAAGACTTTTTATCCCGGTCACGTGGACGAAGTTATGGATGAAAACTAGTAATATACCTACACCAAATTTCATAACTGTAAGTTCTAATCATATGTTAATTTTGTGCCATACAATCTCACCAGTCTGATCTTAAAGCTATGATACACTGTGTTAAGAGAGATCACACCAAGAACAGAAGACAACCCAACACAACCGGAAAGAAGGAGTTGTTAGTAACAGAAGCTGTCAGTCCATCGCTAGCAACAAACCCTGTCATGTCGATCACCACGCGTTTCCTTCAGGAAAGCATCGTATTTTTTTTATAATGGATGAAAATGAAATGGTAACCTCTTCCGAGCTATAGGGATACGCTGGCGAGGCACCAGTGAGAGATGATAAGTGAGGATGAAAGCAGGTCAGTTTGCCCATAGTGACGAACCTCGTAGAGGTCCACCTGATAGGGTATATTGCCAACAATAGGACTTTTAGATTCCATTGTACAGTGATTAAATCCTGATGAATTTATCATGATGGGCTAACTGGCTTAACTTCATCACCACTTATCGGTTCCTCATTGGTACCACACTAACGTAAATCAACAAGTATGTGCGAGTGCATTTTCATGTATTAAAAGAAATCCAGATTTTCTTTTAGAAAATATTATTTCGATAGAAAAGTTTATTTCCTATTTTGTCCTAATTGGTGTTACACGGACGGAACCGCGTATAACTTTAAGTGTTTCATATACAGATTTCACTGAAAAGCATGTGATACAGCCAACCAGACAAACAGGACACTAAAGTACATTTTTTATTATTACACCACAGCAAAATATGAGCCTTTTACCGAGAACAAGTCGACACACTTTCAGAGAATATTGGCGAATGTTTATACGCAATTAAAATTATGTTATGTTGAAATTGAACAAAATGGTCATTTATTTCATTAAATTTTGCAAAGTTAAAACAATCTATATGATAATTTGTTGTAATCTCAAAATTCGGTAGCCATTTGCGACGTTATTGTGAATGTAACTTTCTATTTTAATGAAATTTACCGTAATCGGAGAGTTAGTTGGATATAATTAAAACTGATACATAATCGAAGCAACAACCTTATTTGACAGGAGATAATAATAGTACATTACTGCAGCGGCCAGTAATTAAGGCATTGGTGGACGAACGTGCAAATGTGGGCCGAGGCGTAGCCGGGGCACGCACATCCTGAGGATGGTGATACAAATATTAACATTTCAAACAAATTAAAGTAGGTAAATAATTTTTAGGATAAAGTAGGCGCTTTAGTTAATATTATTGTAAATTGTTAGTAAACAATGCAAATTGTTAATAAACGCTAATTCAATAATGTATGAATCACAGGATTCTGAATAAATTAATATTGATAGGTACTTAATAGTTATTCACTTTCGTTCATATAAATTAGTAAGAAAGCCAGAGTTGATATGTGTTTTTATATTGAAAAATTAATAATGTGATGTAGTATTATATGTTATATACATAATAATATATAAATTATATGTAGTATAAATATATATAAATATTAATAATATGTTGAAGTTTTAATACTGGTTGTTGACACTGAGGTTTTTTAGAACACTGTATTATTTTTAAATTTGTTCAATGTAAAATTTTTTAAGTCATGTCTCGTATTTTTTTCACTAAACTTATTATTTTATATCTCAAATACATATATTTTTATTACTGCATCCTGCTATTTACAACATAATATAGATTTTAAGTGACTAAAAAGCATTACTATATAATTTTGCGATTAATGTTAAAATTTTTGTGTTTAGGCCAAGTAACTTTGAAGTAAGTACTTAGTTTACTGGCTTTTTTGAATATATAATATTTTTATTTATGTATATTGAGTCTTTGCAGTTTTAATTTTATTTTATTACAATATTTATGGGATTATGTATATGTAAAAATAAAAAAAAAAAAAAATTGTATTTAACAATGCACATACGAGTAATTTCGTATTACTTTACATTATAGCCACATTACAACGGTTTTGAATTAAAATATACATTGAAATAGTTTTTTTTTTTAATTTGACATTTGTTTTGTTTTTTTATTAGGTATTTTTTTTTTATTATTTTGATAAGTCAGTAATAAACAAAATCCCCATGCATTAAACAAGCACAAAATCATTCAAATACACGATGGCCAAGTGCCGAATAATTTAAGGGCGATCCTTAGAAAAAATTCAAAGCGACTTACACTGAGGTGAATGACATTATAGCGCGCTTATTCTGCAATTTTATGCGTTTACCTCCAGCCCAGATTGTTTTAATAAAACGGACAGCCCAGCTGCGTCCCAAAACATCCAATGCCCAGCTAGGCGATAAAAAATAATCTAAAAAAACATAAATAATACATTATTCTGTCACCTACATTAAATATTCACGCTAATGCTTCATTATCGACTAGATAAAAGATTAACTCACTGTTTTGTTATGACCTATGTAAATAACATAAAATTACCTGTCGTCCATCTTGAAAAACTAGCTGCGGTGAGACGTGTAAACTTTTTTTTTAATCGCCAAATATAGCAAACTTTTCGAGTACTCGACCGGGAGTTTTACTTTTTAAAAACCGGTTTCAAACAGCCGTTCGCGTACAGCCGATAAGCAAGAAAAACTTAGGCAGACTGCGTGTGCGGAGGACGGGACGGTCGCGACACGGTTTCTGAGCATTTGCTGTTCAGTTTTTTCGTTTTGTACAACATTCATTGCTACGCTATTGATGAGCAGTTTTGATAAACGGTAGGTAAACAAGCAATGTATTTTGTATGAAAGACTTTAATTAACACGGTCAGTGGTGTACTGTATACTAGGTACAGATATTGTCTATATTTTAGTCTGTGACTCATTTAATCTTTCAGACTTGATGACGTACCTCTTATTTTGTTCTAAATAAGGAAATATATACTAGAGGTAGTCTGTACTAGATAAAGGAGCTAGAATATGTATTAGATATTTATAAAGGTTTTTCATCATAAAAAAAAAAAATGTCTATTCTATGAAGTAGGTCACTAGAAATTCTTGAACTAGGATCTTACTAGCAGCTAATCGTTAATCAATCTATAGATTTAATTAAATAACAAATTAGTGACGTTCCTAACAAAAAACCTAATAAAGGTAAAAATGTGACTAATTTATCGTTGAACTCGTCACGATGGGCCAACTGATTTGCCTTTTCATCCTTACCAATCATCTCTAACTGGTGCCCCGCTTAGTGTATACCGTACAGGAGGGCGGGGTTCAAGGCTATTGCGTGTCATGTGTGATTTATCAAGTATTATTTTACACATGAAATAAGCAATAGTTAATTTAACCACACCAATATAACGTAACGATCTCCCAGTTGAATACTGACTTACTTTTTTAATATACCACGTGTACTATATACTACTATTCAACTACCTTTTAATTTGAATTGTCACTACTTTTATCGGGGGGACCTGGTGTCTAAGATACAAGTTACGACTTAGTTTAGGCTCCAGAGGGCCTACCATGAAGTATTTTCCGAAATTTCGGGGACGAACGAAACAGAAATTTGATGTTAAAATTACATAATACATGCTGTTTAAAATTATTAAAAAGGTTGAAATATCGTTCCTTTGGACAATTAGAATAGGATTTATGATGAACGAAACGTTAAGCTCCATTTACTGGGTCGATTTTGATACAAACAAAAACACGAAATTAAGCCCGTAATTTCGGAATTTCATTTCATGGTAGACCACCAGATCTCCCACAAATTACGATACTTTTATTTTGTATAAAGTAAATAATCTATACATTGTAATTTGTGGAGATGAATAAACTAATTATTATTATTGTATAGCAATATTTATACTGTTTTGAGTGTACATGACTACACGAGGGTACATTCGTCAGAAATGTCAGTATTAGCTTCCCTATCAGTCAGTATCGAGCGAGCGTTGCGCGAGGACGCACGTTGTATCGCGGACTGTGTGTGTGTGTGTGTGTGTGTGTGCCAGTGACGATATGGTAACTAATCCTTCGTTTACTTTTATAGGGTATATAAACTACACCATGGCGATAAGACAAATTCTGTATATAATATGATCATCAATAACACCATGGACACTACAAGAATTTTGTTCCATAAACAGAATAATATAGTATGGTACCCTTACTAAAATAAAACCTATCGATAAAGTAATCCAATTCCGTTCAGTATAGGTATATACATATTACGTACCACATGTCATTACAAAATAATTAAAGATTATGGCCCACAAAAAAAAAAACCGACTTCAATTGTGATAAAACAAGTTGTTTGGTCTAAAAATAAAACAACTGATCCAATTTGATGAACTTTCTAGTGGACCAATCTGTAAGTACCTTTCAGGTGTAAGAATTTTTCAAATAGGTTTAGAACTGACGGAGTTATAAGGTAAATTTAAAAAATATATAACCGAATTGAGAACCTGCTCTTTTGAAGTCGGTTGAAAATACAATAGTAGCTGTTATTATACTAGTATAGACCGCATGATAGCAAAGTAATTAATAGACATGCTTTTTTAGTTCCAAAATAAAATAAATAGGATCATCTCAGCGATAAATTATGATTACGATTAGCACATATAACTCGTGCTTATCGAAAATAAGTTTTTTTTTTATATTTTTGATTACATAAATCAAAAAGTGTTCAGCCGATTTTAAGAATTTTATTATTAAAAGAAATATTAAAGAACTCTACGCAAAAAAAGTATGCCAAACTTGCCTATTAAAGTTTATATAAAATACTAATTTATCTTACCTATCTATCCACTCGAGCGAAGCTGGGGCGGATTGCTAGTTACTTTTTTATATTTGTTTACAATCGTATTGTGATAGAATTGAAGATGAGCAGTTGCATCATGAATGACAACCGTGGGGTGTTCATTCCACTTATCGCGGCCATTGAGCTGCGCGTGGGCGGATTACATAATCATGAATTTACCGACTGCTAGAATAGTTGTAGCGATTATAAAGTAAGTATAAAGTGTAGTAAATAATCTTCAACAATTTTCAATACGTTACTACGCTGAGCCGTATGCACTATAATATATTAGTTTTTTTTTTTTTTTTTATTGGATGAAAATGGAGTGGTAACCCCGCCTGCGCTAACGGGATACGCTGGCGGGGCACCAGTGAAGGATGATAGATAAGAATGAAAACAGGCCAGTTAGCCCATCATGATGAATTCATCAGGAATTAATCATGATAGTTTCCAGGGGGAACCGCGAGGAGGTCGATCTGGTTGGGTATATTACCATCAATGGGATTCTTAGTCTCCATTACTAACAATCCCTTTTCCCCCATAATATACTAGTTGGGATTGGATTGAGTGATGCGAACTACCAGTTATATACATGTAGGGCTGCCATCATCTAAATTGTTGACACTGGGGGGAGAGGGATTGTTACAGGTCGACCTCCTCGCGGTTCCCCCTGGAAACTATCATGGTTAATATCTGATGAATTCATCATGATGGGCTAACTGGCCTGTTTTCATTCTCATCTATCACCCTTCACTGGTGCTCCGCCAGCGTATCCCGTTAGCGCAGGCGGGGTTACCATTCCATTTTCACATATAAAAAAACAAATTGTTGACACTGGATAAACACGGAATGCATTTGTCAGAGGGAGACTTTTTATTTTTTTGTTATATATGTATATTTATCACTTTGTAAATATAGTAAAAAAAAACATTGCATAATTTGTCGCATTGCTAACTATTATAACAAGTCATTATGTATGAGAACACGGTTTGAAATAAAATTCAAGGTCGCGCGAGATCACTTATCTCCGGAAAACCAAAGTCAAGTTTTCCTCCTTATTTATATGTTGCACTCAAAACTCTTAATCAGTCAAAAGTACTTTTAACTGAACAGGTTGGTGAAAAGTGGTTTTGATTGAAAACTATTGGTTATTAGCACTTTTGACTGCAATTTGCGATTTTTTTTAGGATCTGCTGTGATCCTGTTATTTGGGAGCCAAAGTGCATCGCTATCGGAATACAATGCACAGCGGTGTAATATAAGGTAAGTTATTTGATTTTTGTTTGAGTGTTTATATTGTTTGATATTATCTGATGTTAGTTTTATCATATTTGTTATTTATTTTGTATTTACATTATTCATTAATTATATTTAGTTTTTTGATATATATATATATATATATATATATATATATATATATATATATATATATATACAGTTACCATTTAAGACCCTTGTACCACATTTCGAGCAAATAAATTATTATTATTCTTATTCTACAATTTTATCATTATAATCATTGCCTTGCCTTTTCCCATTTATCTAGGGTCAACACAGTATGTCTTCTTCTTTCATTAATCCCTGTCAATTTTCATTTCTGGGTTCACTCTTTTTTACAATTTTATTATATTAGTAAATGGTAAGATTAAAAACGATAAAAAGTAGTGTCCCATATCAACATTAAGGTTGTCTTGAAAAGATTGCTCTCAGCAATAAGACCGCCTTACTGTACTTATTCAATTGTATCGTTGTGTTTGTAAATTGGCTTGCTTATTTCCTATATTGTATAATGCAAATAAAGTATACTCATTCGTTCATTCATTTAATAGATGAACGCATATTAGAATGGAAGGGGTTACATTTTTTCTGTCGTTTTTCAACAGGCGTTTCTTTGGGTTAATGTACGATTTCACTATTAGAACACCCTTTAAAAGAATGCTAATGACACCAATTTCATATACAGGATATAGTTTAAAGGAAAATAGTTTTGACATAAAGTCAGACCAGTTACACGAAGAGTCTGAAAACTGTTCAATGTTAAAGGCAAACCACCCAAAGCGAAAAGAAGTGCGAACAAGTGATAGAGAAGCAGCGTAAGCCACCACCGCAACAACCTTGTAATCGACTTACCCGTGTTTCAATATAGATCCATTCTGTGACGGCTTAGAGTATAAATTAAGCAACGACTTTGCTGTTGTAAATCTAAAGAAAACATATACATAACATTAGAAACTCATAGAAAAATAATAGGCTAAAAAAAACATAAGGAATCTATATTAAAATACCCAATTTCTGACTGAACAAATAATACGCAAAATATATGTAGGCGCTGGGGGGAGAAGGTATTGTTAGTAATGGGGATTATTAGCCCCATTGCTAGCAATATACCCTGTCAGGTCGACCTCCTCGCGGTTCCCCCTGGAAACCATCGTGATTGATTTATCGTTAGACTCGTCACGGTGGGCTAACTGACCTACCTTTTTATTCTCACCAATCATTCCTCACCGTGTAGGCGGGGTTACCATTCCATTATCATCCATAAAAAAAAATGTAGCGCTTATATATTTTTCTCTCGGCTTCATGGATAAATGACAATGTGTTGATTTCTTGTTAACCGATTTAAATAAATTTAGTATAATGATTTTGAACGATGATTTATATATATATATATATTACAACAATGGTAAACAAATATACGCCCTGCTTAATCGAAAGTGTTCTAGGTTGAATATGTTTTCAGAGTTGTGTAAAAAATGTATAAACCATATTATATCTACCTACCTACTATAATGAGTAATGGATAGAAGTATGTGATATTTTAAATATTTTTTATTATCAACTATCATCTGGAAGTCATTCATTATTACCATTTGATAGAGTGACGATCTCAAATGTGTTGGAGTTAATGGATGAAGATTCTTTAGCAATATTCCTCGAAGTAGCAGTTTTTGTAGCTTATCCACTGAACTATAAGTGGCTAAAATGAACTATTACAGAGATATAAATTAATACAGACACAGTACATCTTTAGATATATGACAGAACAAATAATTACTCGTATTTTTTTTCTTTTTTTTTTTATACAACTTAGAATGGCAAACAAGCTGACGGCCCACCTGATGAAAAGTGGTAACCGTCGCCTATAGACATGAGCAGTACCATGGATATAAGTATATATAGTATACTGTTTCGCCCATGATACCCCACATGCGTTGTCATTCCTGAGGACTCAGGTGTTATTCCTCTGTACCCAGTAAATTCATGCCATATCCCACCCTTCAAACCGAAACACAGCCATGCAAACACAACTGCTTAACGGTTTAAACACGAATAGGACAGAGGTACATAAGCAATCGACCTTTGTACAAAGTCTCCCTCTGGTGCTATACAATGGAGGGTCAGAAAATTCTGTATAAAAAACATATAAGAGGTTAACAGGTTTTCGTATTATTATTATTATGTTATAAACAATGTAACTATTAACAGTGTATGTAAATAAAATTGCTGTTCTTATTTACATTTTAGATTTTAGAACAATGTGTATACGAGCCTGTGACAAAGTAGCATTCTATTAGCAATATATATTGTTCATACTAATGCCAAGTCCCAAACGGGATAGAAAAAGATCGATATCGTCCGAAAAATGTGTACATCATGTGAGATCTTAGCTTAAAATAATACTAAGGCAGATAAATAATTACAACAGTGGTCTTATTGCCCATAAATGAAGTTCTGATTTAGCTATAGGCAATAGAATTCTAATATCTCTCTTGAAACATCACCAAAGCCTAACTGAGGTTGCCAACCCACCTACCAAGCAAAGCAACTACTGGGGAAAACCCTTCTCATTGGAAAAGGTAATGTTCAAGACTGGACAGTTAAAGACTGGTATCATCATCATCATAATTAATAAGATATTTACCCACTGCTTCTAAATCTGTAACGTGCCAATTTTTTTTTGTTAATAAAAAAAGTATTTATTTATTTATTACTTCTCACCATAAACAATTAAGGACTTACTATCTATAACTTGCAAAATATTTTAACATTTTTTTTTATACAACTTAGAATGGCAAACAAGCTGACGGCCCACCTGATGGAAAGTGGTAACCGTCGCCTATAGACATGAGCAGTACCATGGACATAACAGAGTATACTGTTTCGCCCATGATACCTCCATGCGTTGCCATTCCTGAGGACTCGGGTGTTATTCCTCTGTACCCTGTAAATTCACGCCATATCCCACCCTTCAAACCGAAACACAGCCATGCAAATACAACTGCTTTACGGTTGAAACACGAATGGGATATATATTATTTTTGGGAGCACAATATTATTTGTGGGAGCTGGTGCGTGTACTAGGTGTTAAACCTGTATTACAAGTCACCAGGATCCTTACTACGAACAGTACAAATTACACAGATTATAAAAAAAAAAATTATGATGTTTAATTTGATTCTGTAATTTGAATAGTGATAATAAAAAGGCAGGCAGGATAAATTTAGGAGAACAAATTTTCAAAATTGGCTCAAGTCTGGGTTATGTTCTAGATAATTTTACTCAATTTTTACTTAATTTTTTTTTTTATTTTATAAGTTGTTAGATAGTCGTTATGGGTTTCTAAAAACCCATACAAATGTGGACTATTTTATAACAATATTGCTAATAGACTGTTACTTATAGGGCTTGCAAGTGAATGTGTAGAATGAATGAAAAAGTGGCTCTACCATGTCTTATAGAGTGATGGTAAGGTTTTATTACAATACTCAAGTGCAGTCATTGACATATTGGCAAAATCTGCGCTGGTGCTAGTGCATTGTAGACAAAGGTGTTTAGTGGCGTGCGTGTAAATGCTTACGCAAACGAGAGACTCTCCATCAGCATTGGACAAAATTCCCTTATTGTTTTTTTCATTTATTTACATATACACTAAACAAACTTTCACGTAATAGTATCTATTCATTAAAATATAAGAGTTTTATAAATGATCATAAGAAAAAAAAATAATAAAGTATCAAAAAACATAAAAATTAAGATTACAAATTAAATAATAACACCTTAATTATAAATCGCAATAAAAGAAAAAAAAAACTTAATATGAATGTAGTGCAAAAATTTGTGCAAAGCACCTAACTCAGCGTATATCGCAGTTTCATATCTGAAGCTTCTACGCCGATTTTCAGTTTCAGTCATGGGCTTTTGTATGTTATGCAATGAAATTACACGTGCTTTATGCTAATAGAACCTAAGATTGTCTCTCGTTTGTGTAAGCTTCAAAATAAGTGCTCTTAAGAGCTGTGTTCATTCCGTTGTTTGCACCTACTCAGTCAACTGTAAAAGAGCTGGTGGAGTGGAAAATGGTGCTGTAACGCTCCTTCCCTTATTCTAGCATAAGGATTATATGTAGCAAGACGACAACTTCACCAATATGGCATTAAAATGCAAGTTACTTTATTAGTATCTAAATTAACATGATCCAAATCTGTTTTAAAACTATCGTGATATTTAAATTAGAGAAGAATATTTTTTTAATGTACTATTAAGGGCTCGATTTGGGGAAAAGGGAAAGTAGACAAATTGTCCTTAACGGAAAAACTCTCGACAGTCGAGAACTCGAAATTCTCAATTTCGAGTTATTAAGTTCGGTAAATATTGCCTATATTTGTCTGAAGCGGCAAAATAACTAGATCGAGCCGTGTGTACGTCACTACATATATATGACAAAACACCAAGGATTTTATGGTTATAAAGATCCTATCTACTTACAGGACATGATTGATCCTATTTTCTAAAGATATTTAAGCTTTCGTTTTCTAGCCCTAAAATCATGAAGACAATTTTATTTGCTAATAATGAAGATTAAATGTTTTTTTAGAAATAGAATTGTTTGTTATTTGTCTAGACTTTTTATTGTACTGTATATAATTAAAAAATATAATATATAAATAATATTTATACTTTGGTGGCTGTAGCATAGGTTCTCCTAGTTCAGCCATCAGTCTACACAATACACACACTGTGTATTCTTAAGTAAATAGTTTGTTCATACAGTATTGTGGAGAAAATTTTTTTAAGAATAATTATTAAAGTTCATTTTTATATACAATATAATATATATTAATAAAGTTATCATTGTACAATTTATTGTCTCAGAAATTGGGTATGATGTTGTTGAATAAAATAAAACTTAAGTGGAACAAACGTAGGAGTAAACGTGGTTTAATTAGCAAGGAAAGTAGATTGCCAAATATATATTTAGGAGATTTCATGTTTACGAGTAACACAATAAATGTATGATATGTCATAAATTTTCAAATGCAGGCATTTTAATTTGAGCGAACTTAAAATAAGACTACAAATAACTTACACCATAAATCTAGACAAGCAGTTCATCTGCTTTACTTGCTAATTTCAATGCCATAATTCTATTATCATTATTGAGTAATCTACACCGCAAAGTTCTCTATAAAACTAAGTCAATAAATACTAATTTGACTTAAATTTATAAGCAACGTGAAACGGAAATACTGAAAGTATTAGAAATATATATAATGTTTGACATTTGTGAGAAAGTGTATGCAAGTGTTATAACACAAACGTTATTTACTCTCGTGTCGAGGTTTCATTTTATGCGCCGTCTTAACGTATTTGTACCTTTTTTTTCTATTAAAGTAATATTATTGAAGCTAATCAAAATTGTCTGTTAATTTTGAGACCAGTCTCGTTCACTCGTTATTTATTCACACTTCACGTTGCTCTAAAGCCTTATTCGGACTGCTTTAATAATTTTGTTTGGTGAGTGATTTAGTAAAAAATGTCATACTCGACTAAATCGTTACACAGACACAGCTGTTAGATTACTTGCCACTCAACTAAATTACTTGAGCAGTACGAATTAGCATGTATAATAGTATTGACTAACCTGTTGTTAGATATTAAACCGTGTGCACCGAAGTCTCCGGTGGAACTCCATCTTTTGGTGAGGCTGTTAACAGCCGGTGACGCGCTTTGGTTGCTCGATGTCGAGTTATTTCGCGATCTGAGCATACGCACACTTGTAGCGTCTCTATTCTAGTTATGTGCCGAGTCGAGTTTTGATAGAGTTCGAGTTTTGGTATTCGAGTTTGAGAATTTGAACAAACTCAAGTACTTGAATGGGTGTTCGATTAAAATAAATGTTCAATAATTTTAAATATTTTCTTTCGATTATTAAAGGAAAAATACTTCGAGTACCTGAATACGTATTACCTATTCGAGTCAATACTCGAATCAGACTGGCTAGGCACATCACTACTCTATACTACTAATACGTTACATATACGATACGACATAATACATAAAAGGAAAGAAACTACTGAGCATTAAGAATGAATGATAATTAAATATATATGCGAAGACTACTTCCGGAAATAGACAAATCATAAAAGTCTATATAAGTTCTGAGAATAATCGTAATGCTGATAGAGAAGAATTTAACAATCATAACAATACAAATGTTGAATACAAAATCAAGTAAAATAATGAAAATGCACAAAAACGCTGAATCATATCTCAACTTCAAGAAAGAACTAATCAAGTTGCAATATAATCTTCCGTTTCTTCATATGTTCCATCTTTCTATTAATATTTGTTTCTTATGTTTCCGTTACTTTTAGAGGCTTATCACAATATTAAATACGTAGAATAATGTATATTTTAGTAATAAATAATAGGGTAAACAATAACAGTGAAAATTGATATTAATAAATTAATTCTAAACTATGTAAGATGATGTAAAACTTTTTACTTATAATAAAAAAGTGTTGATATTATTAGAATAATCTAGAAGTAATCCGATATTGATGATAGTGTAATAAAATTCAAAGTAATGAAAGCTCCAGTTATCAGCAGAATATCACCGTTTAACATTCTATCTAAGTAGAACTATCAAGTTGTTAACTGAAATACCTGCAATTTTTTTTAATAACTTTAAGGGCTTTTACCTTAGGTATACCAGCCCTATCGTACCGTGTTCTGATTTCTCACATAAGATGTAGTCATAAAATAAATGTAAAAGGCAGTAACTCTTTAAAGAGCTGAGAAACACTTCCTCAACATTATTATAACTATGTACTATGTGATTATTATCAATATATTTAACTGAGTACTTTAGTTAAAATTATTATTAGTAATTACATACAGAAAAACGATCTACCTACAAAATAACTATATATAAAAAACACAAACTTGCATACGCTACTTTCGGTTTAATAAATAAAATTACCTACAAATAGATTTCGTTCCCATTTCCATTACATCTAAAACATATAGTGACCATTCAAAATTCACTCATGCTGTATGCAATGTGGAACATGCATCAAACACATGGTGACTCAGTTTTTATATTATTAGTTACGACATATACGACTATAAAAACAAAATACATGCATACAATTAATTTTAGCTCGAAATAGCTTCGCTGTCGAATCGCTCTCGGTCCGATCTCGGTTGGGTAAAATAAAATAAGAAAAAGAAAGAAATGAATTGCATAAGAAAAAATGTGTATTTATACTGAAATCTAGTCATTCTAGTGCTTCGATTAGCTCAGTAGAAACAGTTCGAGTCAATCTCGAAATGTTTGAAGTTATATTCGAGATTGACTCGAAGTGTTCAAAGTTGAGTTCGAGGTTGACTCGAATTGTTTCTACTGACTATACCGAGAGCGGAACGAGAACGAACCGAGACCGGTATTATAGTTGGGATTCGGCTTTATCCAACTTCTAAATAGACAACTGTATATCATAAGTATAATATCAAAATCATAGTATTTTATCAGTAAGTAGTGTTCTCCAAGTGGAAAATGAATATTTTTCTTAAACAAGGGATCAAAACCGACAAATTTAGGACCTCATTATAAGAGGCTGAACCGTTTTCGCGAGTAGTAGAGATGAGAATCTAAAATTTTTTTGTTGTTTTCAACCGACCTCAAAAAGAGAAGAAGATTGTCAATTCGGTAGTACGTTTTTTGTTTGTTACCTTATATCTTCGTTATTTATAAACCGATTTAGAAAATTCGTATTTATCTGAAAAGATATATTTTCAGATGATAAAATTTCTATGGAACCGTCCATAGAAATTTTATCAAAATAGATTCTGTAATTCAGTTTTTAAATCAGAATAACTAGACTTTCCCAAAATAGAAGAAGCAGGCGTTTTTTGTACAATAAAATCTTAAATTATTCCGCTCATATCTCTTTGGGAAAAAAGAATATACAGGCCCACTTGTGGAACACTTCCTTTAAAGGATTATTTCAATTTCACCATGTATTTTGAAATCAAGGAATCAAATAAGCCTATTAGACGATATGTTTTGCTGTCCGCATTTATACTAGTTGGAATGACCAAAAAGTTGACGGCCCACCTGATGGAAAGTGGCAACTGTCGCCTATAGACATGAACTACACCATGTACATAAAGAGTACGTAGAGACCTTAATGCGTTATGCTAAAGACAAATTTCATTATTGATAAAAACTATCAATAATCATTATTGACTCAAAATCTATAGAGTAATAATGAAGTGATAATTAAAACCGGTGAATACCTATACGCTTGTGGGGGGTGTGGTGTGTGCAGCGGTGCTGGGGTGGCCCTCGGAGACGGTGATGGTGCTGGTGATAAGGAGGATGATGACGCCGGCGAGTCTGATTGCAGTGAACCCGTCGATTGGTGCTGTGGACCGCGTCTGAAAAGGAAAGCGGGGGTACCCTTTTAACCCACTTCTTGTGTACAAAGACAAATTAAGAACTATTCAATTTGTCACTGGCTCGGTTATGCACATATACTTCGCAGTACGTCCGTCCTCTTGCACCGCTCTCGCGATACTGACCGCTATTGACGTTTCTGACATATCTACCCTCGTGTACTTGAATATATACTCAAGACAGTGTTGATATTGTCATACAGTACACTACTTTAAAAAGGAGATATTCTATTCGATTATTTATTGTATGCGATACGAAGTCCCATCTTTATATTGTTAATATTTAAAAAAAAAAGAGATAGTAGGAGTTCTATCTAGTTTGTCACTTTTCTCCCTCGAAATCCATAAGTCGAGTGGGCCTGATGGTATTCCTCCAATTGTGCTTAGGACGTGCGCACCAGAGTTGGCTCCGGTTCTTACGCGTCTTTTTCGGCTTAGCTACTCATCGGGCATAGTCCCAAAGTTTTGGAAGACTGCTCTGGTGCATCCGATCCCTAAAAAGGGAGATTGCTCAGATCCAGCTAACTATAGGCCCATAGCTATCACTTCCTTATTCTCGAAGGTTATGGAATCCATCATTAACCGTCAACTGCTCCGGTACCTAGAAGAGCACCGGCTGATCTGTGATCGCCAGTATGGCTTTCGACAGGGACGTTCGGCCGGTGATCTTTTAGCTTACTTAACACACCGATGGGCAGTGGCAATCGAGAGTAAGGGAGAGGCCTTAGCAGTTAGTCTGGATATTGCGAAGGCCTTTGATCGGGTGTGGCATAGAGCGCTGTTTTCAAAGCTACCTTCATTTGGGTTGCCTGCGAGACTGTGCATTTGGGTCGCCAGTTCTCTCAAGGAACGTAGCATTAAGGTCGTAGTCGACGGTGCATGCTCTGATTTAAAACCTTTGAATGCTGGTGTCCCGCAAGGCTGTGTACTATCTCCGACTCTGTTTCTTCTGCATATCAATGATATGTTACAGATAAGTAATATTCATTGCTATGCGGACGACTACAGGAGATACATTATATACCGGTCATGCAAAGATCTCGCGGGCACATACCGATGAGTGCCGGAATCTTGTGTCTGAAATCGAAACTTCACTCCATCAAGTTTCGATCTGGGGTGAACAAAATCTTGTCCAATTTAACCCCAAAAAGACACAAGTCTGCGCGTTTACCACAAAAAAGACGCCGTTTGTCGTATCTCCTCACTTTCAGGGCACTTCCCTTGATAAAAAGTCAAGTCTAGGAATTCTGGGCGTTGATATATCTTGCGACGTCCAGTTTTGCGGTCATCTGGAGGAGAAAGCTAAGATAGCTTCCAAAAAGTTAGGAGTGCTCAATAGGGTGAGACGATATTTCATGCCAGAACACCGCCTGAAATTATATAAAGCCCAAGTCAGGCCGCATATGGAATATATACCTGTGGGCAGGAGCGCCACAGTACCAACTCCTTCCGTTAGACCGCATTCAAAGATCGAATTATCGATAGTCAACGCCTTACTGTCCGACTTGACCCATTGAAACTGCGCAGAGATGTTGCGTCTCTGTGCATCTTCTACCGAATTTATCATGGGGAGTGTTCTGAGGAATTGTTATTGATACCTGCTGCTGATTTTCACCACCGTACAACCCGCCACAAACTAAAGTTTCATCCCAATCATCTGGACGAGTGGCGGTCTTCCAGCGTGCGTTTTTCAAGGCACTTTCTTCCACGCACAACCATTCTTTGGAATCAACTTCCAGCAGCAGTATTTCCGAACCGATACGACAACATAACCTTCAAGAAAAAAAAAAAGGCCGGCAGATGCAATGCCGCTGGTGTTGTGGGTGATCATGGGCGGCGGTAGTCACTTACCATCAGGTGAGCCGCATTCGTTTCACTGTGTTGTAAAAAAAAAAAAAAAGATGGCACTGTGAGATACGTGATATTTATTGAAATAATGAAAATGGAACATAAGCTATAAGTTATGACGTTGTGATATACAAACTGACAATTGGACAAACATCATTCGTATGTGCTAGGTTTTAGGCGCTAGTTCGAAAATATCTGTTAAAACGCTGTCATGCTCGGTGACGATCGGACGAAAATAAAGACATATAGACAAAAAATGTAATAAAAAATGTGAATTGTATGTGTCGTGCGATTGTACATTTAATGACATATGTAACAACATTAATTTATTTTTTAAAATAACTTATGATTTTTTATCATCATTAACATCAACATTTCGAAATGGTAAACAAGTTCACGAAGTTGTATTTTTGTTACAAAAAAAATTTTTTTTATATATTAGTGGAACATTGAACAAACGGTAACAATTAGGGTTGGCAATCCCAAAGTCTTTTCTATATTTAAATTTACAATTACACAGCGGGATCCCGCTGTGATTTCCGCACGAAATTTATCTCGTACCGTGTGTTCGATTTTTCGAATTTCGAACTAAATTTATCAATTATTTTAGCCGTTATTCCATTAAAAGTATTTTTTTTACTATCTTATAATTTCAATTGTTCACTTTTGTAAAGTATGTTTTCTTGTTGTTTTTTAATTATTCTTAAATTTGTAAATAAATAAATAAATAGAAAAAAAAATTTAAAATCTATATACGAGTACGAATATACGGCAGTTCACATAGGCATGTGAGAAATCGTTGAAATAAGGGATTGCAAACTAGGGGTGAATAATTTATAGAAATATCTATATATATTTGAGTTACAATATTTACTGGTCCAATAACGAGTATGTTAAAAGACTGTTATTCAAAAAATAATATTGGATAACAGTTTTTTAATATAAATAATTTAAAATAGATATCTGACCAATATTAGCTTTTTCAAAATGGGTGATGACCTTTTTTTCCACCATCAATATCCAAAAAAGAACTCAATATATAGATATCGGATCGATATCGATATTGCCTATGCCTATTGCAAACTCTAGTAACAGTTCGGTCCGGGGATCCTAATATCGAATCCCAGTCTAAACTTTTAAACTCACAAATTTATGTTTGGGTCATTTAAAAATCATTATCACTCGCTTTGAAAGGTACGTAATACTGTCATCTGGTAAGTCAAACTCTTGAGTAGAGGGCGCCACCGTCACACGAGTATTAAGTGGAAGGAACACCAGATGGCTTCGTATTACTACAATAGTAATACTAGTAAGCTGTCATAGAGGGTACAAGCGGTGATTTAGGTTTTTCTAACTCCTGGGTTGATCCTATTCATAGTTTGTACATCGATTCTTACTTCTGCAGACATTTGTTATACAATCATATGTCAAGCTATTATAAAAAAAAAAAACGAAGCCCGTCTAGAATCTTTTAACACCAGAGGGCGCCACCTTCTTAAAAGTATTAATAGTGGAGTATTTTATGTAAACTGACCGTGCGGTTTCGATATAGAATAGGCCACCCCTTTCTTTCCCGTGGGTGTCGTAAGAGGCGACTAAGGGAGGGCAAGGGATAGGCAGCAGCGTCCCTCTTTAAACATCTCTAAAGCCTAATTGCGGTTGCCAATCCGCCTGCTAAGCGTGTCAACTATTAGCAAAACCCCCTAAGGGGGACATTTAGCTGTAAACAGTTAAAGGCTGATATGATGATGATCATTTCATGTCATACATGTCTACATGTAAAAATACGGTCTAATAGCTCATGAGACTAGAGGGCGCCACCCTCATACGAGCAGTGGTAGTTGAATATTACCTTTGAGGTAATGAGGAGGCGCTGGATCCGTAGCTGGATGTTCTCTTAGCCGTTTCCCGGTACGCGGGCTGCCGAATTCGCAGCTCCCGCGAAGGTGTGCCGGTCGAACCTTAAAATTAAAACTTAGAATGAATATTAGCTGACCCGACAAACACTATTTTGGCCACTAACGTCACCTAACCAAGTACATTTTTACTTATCAAAATAATCCCGATTACGTGGACGAAGTAAATTTATTTTATATAACTTAAAATGGCAAACAAGCTGACGATCCTCCTGATGGAAAGTGGTACCTGTCGTCAATATATACGACCAGTACCATGGTCATAACAGAGTATATACACATATGATACCCTTCATTAGTTTTCGAGGACCAAGGATATTTGATAGTAAATAAATATTTTGCTATAAAATTTAATATAAGAAAAAGTAAAACAAAATAGTCGGATTTTTTGTCAGTCCTCAGCTAAATCTGTTCTTTGAATGTTAAAATGGAAATGTACCCCAGATACTACAGCATGAGGTTCTTCAAAAAGAGTGTATTGAGGCTTCTTAAGGTTTGATAACGCGCGCGTTACCATCAGACGGGCCGTATGATTTTTAGCCATCATAGTAGTATAAATGGCAATGGGCTGGTCACATAGCTCGAAGAACCGACAACCGATGGAGAAGAAAGGTTCTTAAGTGGCGACCATATACGGGTAAACGCAGTTAGAACGGCCTCCCACTAGATGGAGTGACGACCTGAAATGCGTTGCAGGGAGTCAGTGGATGCAGGTGGCTCAGGACCGTTCTTTATGGCAGTCTATGGGGGAGGCTTATGTCCAGCAGTGGACGGATAATGGCTGAAATGATGACGATGATGATGATAGTAGTATAAAAAAGGAAAAAAATTAGGGACAAATAAACAAAATAGGGCATAAAAATTTTACGGAGTGTTACGTGGGAGGAGGGAGGGTCAAAAATCTTCAAAGAAATGCGTTACGTATACTTGAACGACCCCTAATGAGTGGCAACAGGGGGAAAGGGATTGTTATTAAAGGGGTTTAATGAATCTATTTCTAGCAATACACCTTATCAGGTCTACCTCCACGTGGTTCCCCCTGGAAACCATCGTGATTGATTCTTATTGAATCCGTCACGATGGGCTAACTGACCTGCTTCATCCTCACCTATCATCTCTCACTGGTGCCCCGCCGGTGTATACCGATAGCGCGGGCGGGGTAACCATTCCATTATCATCCATTAAAAAAAAAGGTGGGTTACATGCTAATCGAATTCTTTACTTTTTAACTTTGGCAAGTGCAGAGATGTTTGGAGACTGTCAAATGTTATCTACATTCACATAAAGATTTTCAACCGACTTCAAAAAAGAAGGAAGTCCACAATTTGTGTTGCATTTCTTTAAGTATGATATGTCAGAATTCTATCATTAGGGAATCGATTTGGAAAATTCCTTTTTTTTACTCCAAAGGTTTATATGTGATTAATCTGAAAGTTTAAAAAGAAAATGAGTGGCAAGACTAATGATAGTATTGATGGTACTGACCAGCATACGAGCCGTTGCGGGGCGCGGCTGGCGCGGCTGGCGCGGCTGGCGCGGCTGGCGCGGCGGACGGCGGCCGGCCCTCGAGCGCGTTGAGCCGGCGCAGCGCGTCCGCGAGCGTGGAGCGCAGGCACAGCAGCTCCTCCGCCTGCCGCGCGCATCGCACCTCCAGCTCGCCCACCCGCGCCGCCAGCCCGGCGCCCTCGCCTTCTAGCATCTCATCTGCAAGTACACAGTTCAAACATTACAAATATTTTTTATACAACTTAGAATGGCAAACAAGCTGACGGCCCACCTCATGGAAAGTGGTAACCGTCACCTATAGACATTAACAGTACCATGGACATAACAGAGTGTACTGTTTCGCCCATGATACCCCCCAATGCGTTGCCATTCCTGACGACTCAGGTGTTATTCCTCTGTACCCAGTAAATTCACGTCATATCCCACCGTTCAAACCGAAACACAGCCATGCAAACACAACTGCTTCACGGTTGAAACACGAATGGGACAGAGGTGCCCAAACAATCGACTTTTGTACAAAGTCTCCCTCTGGTAAAATGCTTATAATTACTATTATAATTATAATATTACCAGACGGAAACTTTGTACAAAAGTCGATTGCTTGAGTACCTCTGTCCCATTCGTGTTTCTACTGTGAAGCAAGTGCTTTTTTTTTAATGGGTAATAATGGTATGGTAACCCCGTCTGCACTATTGGTATATACTGACAGGGCACCAGTGATAGATGATTGATGAGAAAGCAGGTCAGTTAACTCATCCTGGCGAATTCAACTAGAATCAGCCACGATGGTTTCCAGGAGGAAACACGTGGAGGTCGAGCTGACAGGGTATATTGCTAGTAATGGAACTATTTGACTCCATTACTAACAATCCCTTTCCCCCTAAGCAGTTGTGTTTGCATGGCTGTGTTTCGGTTTGAAGGGTGAGATATGACGTGAATTTACTAGGTACAGAGAAATAACACCTGAGTCCTCAGGAATGGCAACCCATGGACATAACGTCCATGGTATTGCTCATTTCTATAGAGGTTATTAGACGGTTACTTACTTACTACTTATTTTTAAATTGGAATTAAAAAATAAAATAATCCTGTAATGCAAAATTGATACAAATGAATACAAAATGTAAACACATACCCATGGCGAGCAGTACATGAATATAAAATAAGACAATAAAAAATGTAATAAAATCACGGAAACTGTCAACAACAATCGTTTTCCCATCGAATTTACAGTTTCAATGTGCTATCGCCATATATTAAGTACCCATTCTGAATAGTAATTATTCTTTTTTGTAAATTTACAACTATACATGTCTAGCTTTAGCTCGCAGTTTTGTACGCGTGGATTTTGAGAGAAGGTAACCACTTTTAGATGGTGTATCAAAATAAAACATATATCAGATTTTAATAAAGCAACTGTGAAAAGAGCATTAAATTTAATGTAGCAGTTTTTGAGCGATGCCGGAATAAACATACAAACAAAAATAAAATTATTGTGTGTACTACTATTGCTCTTCATAAATAAAAAAAATTATATATATATATATATATATATATATATATATATATATATATATATATATATATATATATATATATATATATATATAATTTTTTGTAGTAAATTTAATGTAGCAGTTTTTGAGCGATGCCGGAATAAACATACAAACAAAAATAAAATTATTGTGTGTACTACTATTGCTCTTCATAAATAAAATAAATATATATATATAATACTCATACCTCCTATGTAGAGACATAATGTAGTTGCAATTTGTGTATATAAAAATCTAATGTCATGGTGTTTGTCGTTGCACCTCTTCGAAACGGCTTGACCGATTTTTATGAAATTGTATAAGTATATTTGGTAGGTAAGAGAATAGGTTGTAAAGTATATTTCGTACCGCTACGTAATAGGGTGTTATTATTATATTAGTATTAGTATATTTCCCCCTGATACCTTCGTACCCCTGATTTATATGGCAGAACGCTTGCCGGGTGAGCTAATTTTATTATATTAGTATGGTAAAAGTATGCATGTTGAAATTCAAATCATTAGCATCAAGGGAGTACTCTACTTGTGATATTCATGTTTACACGAAAACAAATAAAGCGATTTTTATTATTCTTTTAAGAATAGATAGTACACTCTCGTGTTGCTCCCATATTAATTACGTTATGACCGAAGTCGTTAAAATCTAATTTTAACAATTGTGAGCATCTGTAACTTAATGTGGTTGCCGTGTGGTCCCGTCATAGATTATGCCACTTCTTTCTCTCCTGGTAGGTGTCGTAAGAGGCGACTAAATGAACTAAATAATAGATGGATGGGCAGCAGGGCATCTGCTGAAATATTTTTAAAATCCTAACTGCGGTTGCTATACCGCCCCCCAAGACTTTGAAGGGTCTTCAACATTCTAAAAAGTTCTTAAATGACAATGTTGAACGATGGGATAAGCTTATCTACAGCGGTGTCAGACAACAGTCAAAACTCATTATGGGTGCCTTAACTGGACATATGCCAATAAGGCATATACTACACAAGATGGGTGCAGGCTATGCGGGGAGAAATCGGAATCCATGGAACACTTGATGTGCTACTTGAGTCTACTGGGAACGACTTAACCAGAACCAGGGGACTACAGATATCTTAAACCGCGGGATATCGTCAAGGTAACACAAAGGATCTATGAAATGATGGTTTAAGGCAGGGGGAAGCACAAAAGATCTTAATGGGTCGACGTGCAACAGCTTAGCTGAGCCCATACGTGAATATAAGATAAGATCCCGCCCACCAAGTGCGGATAACTACTAGCAAAACTCCCCTTATGGGGAAGGCACAAGTTCAGCAGTGAACAGTTAACCGTTGGAAATAATAACTAAATATGACTGTAAAGACAATTTAATATTTTATTTAAATGTCATGTGTAAACTACCATGTACCATGTTAAAGATAGGAATAAAAGTAGACATTACCTCCAGATCTGCCTTTCCCAACATATTATAAAACCTCAAACCCGCGTTGGATCAACTTTCTAATATAAACGGAATGTTTTGCAGACTGTTCGTTCACTTCACAAATCGTTGACCGCACACTGTAATATGTCGTAATGTGATTGTTGCTTTATTTTCGGGTCACGCGTTCAAAGAGAACAGTTTGCAAATTGTGACCGTACATATGTTGACACGCTATTGTGTCTCAGACAATGCATGTATCGCTGTATGTGTACACACATGCAAAAAAGTGCTCTAGGGTTTACGATTTCCATTATTTTTTTCAAGCAATATGGTATAGTAAAGATGCTAGCGGCTCATCCGATGGGAAGCGGTAATCATCGCATATAGATATGAACAGTAGTACGGACAAAATACACTATGAACCGACTATATTTTAATGGAAAATCGTTATTTTGAACCTTGATTTCCTATTTTTTATACCCAATATATTTTAAGACATATCGATCTAAAAATCTAGAAAAAAATATTAGTTGAAAAGGGATACATCATATAACATGTAGGTGTCGCGGTATAGTGTTCCTTTTTTAAAAATGTCTTCTTATAGTGTCCTTTTTTAAATTGTTTATTTCTCTGAGTCGTTTTCTCTTTTAGACATCAACATAATACAAGAAAATATGGAATTTATTTACTTCAGATCAATCGTTTGAACGTCGATGTCCATATAAACAATAGAGTTCTCAATTTGAATCGATTCAAATTTTGTACAAGATTGACAACCCTAGATCAAACAAGATCGTATAGGGCACGCACTAGAATGAGTTCCGTAGTTATTCTTGTTGACATTGTCACACATTGTCATAATGTGTCGATAGTTTGCACAATGTTCCACTTTTAATTTTCAATAGAGTTCTAGACCTTAGGTTATGAATGTAAATACGAAGTCTATGTTCTAGTCCATATTACGCATGGGGGGTATCATGGGCGAAACAGTATACTCTGTTATGTCCATGGTACTGCTTGTCTATAGACGACGGTTACCACTTTCCATCAGGTGGGCCATCAGCTTCTTTGCCATTCTAAGTTGTATACAAAAAAATAAAAAAAAATATTGTTCTTTATTGATTGTGTATTCTATTAATTCCATTAATACGGCTGTTAATTATTAAGTAATCGATTTAAAAATAAATAGAATTTGTAATCAAAGACACGTTTCTGCCACTCAGTAGATGTTTGTATTTTTTTTTAGTACAGGATTTTTGAAGACTAAGGTTGTGTGTATATATAGTAATATATATTATAGTTACAATATCTATATATTGATCTAATAACAGATGTATCAAATATCAGTTATCCAATATATAATAATGAAATGAAGATAACTATCGAAACGTATATAGATACTCGTTTGGTACGGGCGATATCAAAGCGTGTGAAGCACTTTTTTCCGCCATCAATGTCCAGCGAAACCCAATATATAGATATCGGGACGGTACCGATATTACCCATGTTTATTTAGAATTATATCACCTTATTAACAGATGTGGAACTTACGCCATGCTGCGTATACATCATTCATGGTGTCCCCGGGGGAGTCGCTTGCTCGTGAACTCCTCGACTCGCGATCTTGATTTCCCTCCATTTTGTTTCACAAAAACACTCGAATTTCTAGCTCACTATAACATATCAACACTAAGACTTGCGGCGAATGGTTTCTTGCACTAAATATCAGTTACTTTGTCACCAAATAGAGTAATTTTTTTTTTTATTATTTTAGCGTAGCCTCGATTAGTATAATTCGTTGTAACGTAACATATAACGGCAGAATTTTGTGTCTATAAAAGTTTTACAATACTGAAAATACAAATATTAATCAGATGTTGAAGGTTTTTTTTTTATACAACTTAGAATGGCAAACAAGCTGACGGCCCACCTGATGGAAAGTGGTAACAGTCGCCTATAGACATAAGCAGTACCATGGACATAACAGAGTATACTGTTTCGCCCATGATACCCCACATGCGTTGCCATTCCTGAGGACTCAGGTGTTATTCCTCTGTACCCAGTAAATTCACGCCATATCCCACCCTTCAAACCGAAACACAGCCATGCAAACACAACAGCTTCACGGTTGAAACACGAATTCAACTTTAGTAAAAGGAGAAAAAGTCAAGTTCTTGTTATGATCTATCACAGTTTAACTATTATATTTATATATACGAGTATATATACATATGTAGTGT